GTGAATTTACGGCGTTTGTCGACCACAAGCCGCTCACCTTTGCCATGTCAAAAGTGGCGGAGCCTTGGTCGGCACGTCAGCAGCGGCAGCTGTCCTACATATCGGAGTTCACTACGGACATTAAGCACGTGGCTGGCAAGTCGAACCTGGTTGCTGATTGCCTCTCCAGGGTCGTCATCGGTGCCGTCCAGTTGGGCCTGGACTATACTCGCATGGCGGCAGACCAGGTCACAGATCCCGGCGTCCAGGCCCTGAAGGTGGAGAGCGCGGGGCTGCGCTTGGAGGACGTGGTGTTCGGCGACGCGGGCATTACTCTCCTGTGTGACGTCTCTACGGGCCTGGCGCGGCCTGTCGTCCCTGCCAGCTGGAGGCGTCCTGTGTTCGAGGCTGTGCACGGCCTGTCACACCCCGGCGTTAAACCTTCGGTCCGTTTGGTAGCGGCGAAGTTCGTTTGGCAAGGACTGAAAAGGGACGTGAGGACTTGGGCCAGGGAGTGCGTGGCTTGTCAACGCGCTAAGGTGCACCGCCACACAAAGGCCCCGTTGGAGCGTTTCCTGGTGCCTGAGAGGAGGTTTGATCACGTCAACATTGACCTGGTTGGTCCGTTGCCTTCCTCTCAGGGGTTTTCCTACCTCCTCACCATGGTGGACAGGACGACCCGTTGGCCGGAGGCGGTTCCGCTCGTTTCGACATCAGCCGCAGACGTTGCCCGGGCCTTCATTGCAACGTGGGTGTGTCGTTTTGGCACCCCGTCAGACATTTCCTCAGACAGGGGCTCTCAGTTCACGTCCGAGCTCTGGAACGCTGTGGCAGGCGGTTTGGGGGTTAAGCTGCACAGGACTACCGCTTACCACCCTCAGGCTAACGGTCTCTGCGAGCGCTTTCATCGCTCCATGAAGGCGGCCCTCAAGGCCGGCCTTACGGACGGTAACTGGGTCGACAAGCTGCCCTGGGTGATGCTGGGCCTGAGGACCGCACCTAAGGAAGATCTGCAGTGTTATACAGCGGAGATGGTCTACGGTCAGCCGCTGAGAGTTCCGGGGGATTTCCTCCCAAATGCATCGGCTCCCTGGTCGGCGTCGGCCCAGCGGGCTTTCCTGCGTGACGCCGCTGAGGCCTTTGTTCCGATCCCTACTACTCAGCACGGTACTCAGGTGTCCCAGGTTCCCGCAGAGCTCCGCTCGGCGGAGCACGTGTTCATCCGGCACGATGCGCACAGAGGCCCCCTGCAGCCCCCTTATGATGGGCCTTTCCGGGTCTTGGAGCACGGGGACAAGCACCTGGTGGTCGACCTGGGTGGCAAGGCCGAGCACGTCTCGGTGGACCGGGTGAAGGCTGCTCACCTGGACTTGGACCAGCCTGTGGTGCTGGCTCGACCTCCGCGACGGGGCCGCCCCCCGGCCTCGTCCCCTGTCACGGATTTAAGACCTGTTGTTCCGGTCCCTCCCCTTCCGGGGGCCGCACAGGCGGGAGTCACTTTTCCGACTCCCGTGCTCAGGAGTCGTGGGGGTCGGCGTGTCGTTCCTCCCCGCCATGCTGATTTTGTTTATGTGTGAATTCTGGGGGGGCTTGTGTGGTGACACGTTATTGGACATAATTCACCTTGCTTATTGTGTTGCCACACGGACCCTTTAGTGGGGAACACCTGTAGCTTTAGCTGCCAGTCCTGCTAGCTCATCAGGCAGAGCAGTGCATGGGTTAACCTCTCTGAAAGTAATGGATAATAAAGATTGGAACTCCATTCTTAATACACCGCCTCCGACTCTCTTTTCACGGCACTACAATATCATGTAATGTTATTTAATGTTAGGTAATATACAATATAAAGTATTTCAGTTTGGTATTCAAAAAATATTGAATGCTTTTACAAAAAAAAGGAGGATATTGTACTAAAAACATTTTAGTTATCAATCTAAGACAATATGTTGGGTAATTAACAATTGAATATCATCTTTTATTTGATTAAACAACTTTTGTTTACCAACCAATAAAGCATATTGGATTAAATTCAATGTGTAATGGCAATTGTAATGTTCCAATGTCCTATATCCTTTTGCCATTACTTCACAGGAGGGCTGGAGAGTGATCCAGACACAGACACAAACAGATGATTTTCCGGTCCTTTGCTGTAGTTTAGAATTATGTTTTATTTTTGCGTTTTACATACCAAGGTTTAATTACAGTCAATACAGTTGTGGTGCATCTGCCGGCTGGTGAATTCAGTATGCTCTTTCCTCCTGTGTCCTCATCCTTTCCTGTCACATATGACCCCTTTCCCGGTGCAGCTAAACCCCGCCACCAAGTGTTCAAGATAGTATTGCACTATACACATCAATTAAATAAACTGACATGCCAACAACACCCATAAAATGGCTCCTACACAATGTCTATAATATGTTTGACAAATAGCCTACACATAGTGCAAATACATGTTCAATTGGTAATAGTTAAACATTAGTTTGAGATGTTATTGGTTTGAACAGTAAAACAAAACAACAGGAACACAACAATAATAGAACATTATATTGTTATTTTCATCTATGAAATCCCACATCCATGAGAAGAGATGGACTGATTCCTGAGAGTCTTGTACTTTACATGAGTATTTACATGTTTTTCTACTTCGTACTTCTACTCCACTACAATTCACAGATAAATCATGTACTTCTCCTCCACTCCAGTTCAGAGGTAAATGGTGCACTTTTACCCCACTTCATGTATTTAATACCTTTAGCTACTTTACAGATTTTGATGAATGATGTGAAATATAATCAAGTATTAAATCAGACTTTAGTTCCACCTGGAGTAAATTCACAAGCTACCCTGCAGTATACAAAGTCATTCAAACTAGCTGCACCTTTACCAGCTTTGAGAACACTTTAATGATCAATCATTATAAAACATATCATATATATTATTCTGGAATGAACCAATCTGCAGGATGACTACTTTTACTTTTGGTACTTTAACTATATGTTGATGAGAATACAATTGTACTAATTGAATAGTATTTTGAATGCAGGACTTTTACTTCTAAACAGAGCCGCCGTGTGGACGGGCCACGCCCACGGCCCGTCCAGGGTAGGGGTTAGTTGAAGCTTCAACGCTTAGGTGACGTCACGCTTTGCCGAACTGCATTATGGGAGCGTTGCTTCGCTTTGATGGCGTTGCTCGCTTCAAAAGTTGAGCAATGTCCAACTTTTGAAGCTTCGGCGGATCAATCAAATCATATGCCAGTACAAACTCTAGCCAATCAAACTACGTGCTTGTGTGTCCGGGGCGAGAGATTTATATGGGCTCAGAACAGTCTCATAATACACACATGCACACAGAAGGATTCAAACTTGTATTTCCGGATCCATACTTGTGTTTTTCAATGCACACACAAATGTATTCCGATTCATATACATGTAAATAAAATCCAAATACAGACAAAAGTTTTACATGTGTATTTTTGATCCTCACTTAGTTTCCCGTTTAAATCCCCTGAACCTGCAAACACAAACAGCTTTCTGTGCACGGATCGCTTTGCATTCGTGTGTGGGTTTTTTGAGACTCCCCTGACGGTCAGCCGATTCGTACTTGTAATTTTTTCTATCTATAGCCAATCAGATGTCTCCTTCATTCTAAGCCAATCACATGAGCGCGCCCCCACGAGGGTTAGATTACTTCATATACGCATTTTGCGCAGTCCGGTCAGCTCGCTAAACAGAGGGCGGAGCATCAGCTGATCATGCAGAGCAGCGTGTCTCCATCAGACTCAGCAGCTGATCTGATCTCTCTCTCGCGTCCGGTTATACTTCACTCGCGTTTATGTCCATATCGATCAGATCCAGCTCTCCTGATCGGCCTTGATAGAGAGCACCGATCAAACTATTAAGAGTGAATATCGGCCGATAATGACCGGCGGACCCCCCGTTAACAGGTCTAGCACTGACTTCGTAGTGCACTGATCGATTAGGCTAAGCTAACCTGTAGCTGCTCCCTCCACACTCACAACAACTTCATACAGACATAAATAAAGCAGCTGTATTCGCCATACAGGAAACACACATTTAAAACGGTTTTGCCTGCCGTTTTTGTGTACACAAGCATTCATCAATGGTTCGGAAAGTGGCGCTGTAACTTAATAATATAAAGGCTTGTATTTGCGTGCATTTCCTGTTCGGAAAGTGGCGCTGTACTGAGAGTGGAGGGTGTCCTGAGATTAGCCGGACTGCGCAAAATGCGTACATGAAGCGCTACGTCATGAACGCAAGAAATCTACCCTCATGGGGGCGCGCTCATGTGATTGGCTTAGAATTGAGGAGACATCTGATTGGCTATAGATAGAAATAATTACAAGTACGAATTGGCTGACCGTCAGGGGAGTCTCAAAAAACCCACACACGAATGCACAGCGATCCGTGCACAGAAAGCTGTTTGTGTTTGCCGGGTCAGGGGATTTAAACGGAAAACAAATATGTGAGGATCAAAAATACATATGTAAAACTTTTTTCTGTATTTGGATTTTATTTACATGTATATGAAACAGAACACATTTGTGTGTGCATTGAAAAACACAAGTGTGGATCCGGAAATACAAGTGTGACTCCTTTTGCGGATCATGAAATACAAGTGTGAATCCTTCTGTGCGCATGTGTGTATTATGAGACTGTTCTGAGCCCATAGGTTCATGTTGGTCGAGTTTCAGACAAGCTTATCGACAAGCTTCAACGCACGCCGCCGTGTGGACGCTGCGTAATCCTACACTCTGGTACTTCTACTTGACTTTTAGTAGGCCTACTCCTTCCACCTCTGCTGATTCCAAACCGGTAGTTTCGGGTTTGCTGTTTTGTTTATTGTTATTGTTACTTTGTGCTTGCGGTCTTTGTGGGAACAATTATTTGTGTATTTCATGTTTGATTATATTTATACCGTATTAAACCGTTATAGATATTACATCCAATGTGGCAACCAGGGGGCGCACTTTGCTGTCCAAACTCCTACAATCTCCCTAGCACTTGAACGCAGCATGTAAGGGGAAGTGAAAGCAACACTGCTGCAGCTCATATTCATCCATGCTGTAGCTCAAGAAAAACCGATAAGTTACTACAGCTAACCGGCAAGTTTTATTACCACACCCAGTGTATAAACCCCGGCACCGGCAGAGGAAAACCCCGCTAAGACGAATACAAAGTTTAAAGAGTAATGTCAGTATTAATAACGCGTTCAGATAGTTTCGGGTACAGGTAGTCGCTTTTTCTGTCATTTGTGTCGTGAAGAGGAGAACTGTGTCGCTTTTTCTCCGAGGAACCGAGAGCAGGTAAGAAGTGAGCGAGCCTCCTGACGTTAGCATAGTTAGCTTTGGTAGCTTGTGCTAATTTAGCCATCTCCAAATGTAGCTTGAATTAGCATAATGTAGCTAGCGCGCTAACTTGGTAGTTAAACAACAAAAGAGTGCTAGCTAAAACAGAAACATATCTTTGGGATACAAATTCGATATATTTTCTCTTTATAAGTGAACTTTTAGTGCTAGTTTGATCAAATTGTCATTCTGCGTTTAGCAAATATTAGCAGCTACGTACAAGGCTATAACAACTTATTTTTTAAGCTAACATGTCATGTCATTTTAGGTAAGTGACATTTCCGGTATGTAAAAAGCTGGAAACCTCACTCGACCAACATGTTGCTAACGTATTTTTCGGACAAGCAAACGTTACATATTTGTTAGGCCGACATTGCGTCTATTTTATAGCTACAGTTTGTTGGTTCCACCTAGCTTATACTAACGTCGTTTAACACCCCTGAAATACACAATACTTGTATTTAGTTTTAATTGTTCTATATATGAAACATATTAACGTAGCATTAAATGTGTTACAGTTTTAAAACATGCCTGACGCACTTTTAATTGGTTTGCTGCAGGTTCCTGTTCTGCAGCACTGCCGAGTCGTATTACCAGCAAATTAAACAAAACAAAAACCCGACAGAAAAATTCAAGGAATTAAAAGGAAAACAATGTAAAAAGAGAGTCTTGGAATGAGATTTAAATCTGTGGCTGCAAATGTTGATTATATACAAGTTTGAAATATAATTTATATAATGTTTGCTTTAAAGTCATATTAGATTCAGATTAGAAATACTTAATTTAACCTAATTTGGAAAATTGTCTTTGTTAAAGCAACATGTTAACAAGGCATTGCACGAGTTAAAATATAAAAAAATAAACATAAAGAGTAGATGTATTAACAGTTGAAGGATAAATATCTTTAGAGTATCTAAAAATGCCAATCGCGAGAGCCGATCACATGACGTAAAATAATGACGTAAAATACATTACACTTTTGCTATGCTAACATCACCCATTTTATACCAGAGAAACTTTAATAACAGCGTTGTGATGCCAAACAGCGTCAATTCAGACTGACACACATTCACTTATGGGGAATTGGGGATATGTATCAGCTGCTTGTGTGACAGTCAGACAGTGAATACTTTAGAGTGGCCGCTGCCATGTGAGCTAACCCGGAGCTAACGGGAGAATAAACTCCAGTGGAAGAGCAGCACTGCAGCGGTCGGTAAATGCTGCTGAAACACATTAATAAACAATTAACCACGGCACTCTGGAGAACAGTATATGGTTGGAGAAGTTGCTATTTAATTTAATCTGGCTTCGTATATAATTAAAAGCAACACGATCATCGACCCAACGCAGTCCCCCATTGTTGTTGTAGTGAGTTGGGGAGAAAATCGTAAACGGTGACGTCATGATGATGATGCAGCAGCGGCAGCACCAGTCGGGTTCTGGGCGGTGTGAACAAAACGGGGGCTGAAAAGAAAAACCGGTTCCGAACCAGAAAAGCTCTAGCACGGAGCTAGAACGGGGACCGCGTTGGTGTGAAAGGGGCATAGGAGTTAGACCTAACACACTTGGCTATTTTATCTACCTCTGGAACAAGCTAAACTAGTTATAAATATATTTATTCTTCACTGTCGGGTCACTCATTACTGGATCAGTGAGCTGCATGAGATACTGACGGGCTGTCAGGAGAGAGAGAGTGGGAGAGAGGAAAAGAGAGCGCTTCTGCTAATTTCTCCCGTGTTATCATCCAAAGTTAATGTAAACTTGAATAATGTACTTCATTTGAATGTAATAATGATCAGGGGTAGACATTAAGGGTAAAAATCTAGATTTTCATTATCACTGGCCCCGCCATTGTAACCACTGGCCCAAGAGAATTCGTCCAAAAAAATCCACTCTAATAATGAACAAAATGAACATATTTGTTGCAATAGTAATTTATTTACAAACTACATTACTACTATACTACAACATTTCAATCGTCAGTTCTTCCTCATTTTCCTCCTCGGTCGGTTGATTTTGCCGTCCTCCTGATGACCAGGCTGTAAATCCTGGACGTCTGGCTCTTGATCCCGACTGCCACCACTGCAAAACAGCTCTCTTAGCATCAAAGGTATCCAGACTAGGCCCTTCAATGGTCAGGAACATGAGACGAGTGAGATTTTGGGTTGACAGTGAGGACCTCCAGTCGCTCTTCACCCTCTTCATGCAAGAGAAGCCTCTCTCACATGCTGCTGTACTGACAGCCATTGTTAGGTAGATCTGGGCAAAGATGCCTAGGTTCTTAAACTTGGTCTGTAGATCACCTCTCTGGAGTATTTCCAGGAGAGTGTCTCTGAGGGGCCCATTCCGCATTCTTGCCCAGATTTTATAGAGCCTGTACACTCCCAACACCTCAGTGACTGTGGTCCCCTCACGCACCAGGATGCTCTGGTAATGGTGGCACAGGGACTCAATATTTGCTCGTCCATGGAGGACAAAGGCTTCTTTGGACTCATCTGAGTTGTCCAGTTTTGGCCACACATTATGATCAAGAGCTGAGAATGTTTGCACAATGCTCTCGGTAGACAGCAGGTCTCCCAGACGGCTCTCAATATGTTTGGTAAGCATGTCTGTAATTTTCTTCCTGTCTGTAGCCAGTGTGTCTGTGGTGGTGTTTTTTTAGCTCTACCCCTCTATAGGTGCCATTCATTGCATCAACCAACATCTTCCTTTGCTGCTCTCCGGGCTCCAGACACAGCTCTGTAAGGCCAATGAGGTAGGCCTCAATGTACTGCACTGCTTCCCCTGGCGTCAGACTATCCTGCTGAAACTGGAGGCTCAGTGCCTTGAGAAAGTCCAGTGTATCCAGCAGGAAGTGCATGAACTGGACATTGGTGTGGCTTTTGAGGTAGTGGAGGATGTTCTTTGCCCTTCCCATCACTGCAGGTGAAGGTCGGGTTGTCCTCTCTGGGCTGACCTGGTCCTCAAAGTGGGCCACAAAGATTGCATAGCTATTACACAGGATCTGTGTTGCCTTGTGGATGTAGGGCAACCACCTGGACCCCTTCAGGTTTGTAGGCTTGAGGACCTTCTCCTCCATTGCATCTGCCAGCATCCTCAGCTCCCTCAGTGCCTTTGGAGAGTAGTGGTATTGCTGATGCAAATATTGCAGCTGCTTCAGCCTCTGATTCTCTTTTATTGAACACCTAATTCCAGCCTGTGTGCCACACATTGTATAGCAAGCAGGTGTCCAATCTCTTCCTTCAGCTTTGCAGCCACACCATTCCTCTTCCCCAAATTGACAGCCGCACCATCAGCGCAGAGGAAAACCACCTTTTCCTTCCAGTTATCCAGACGTGCTTTTTCAATCACTGTCTGCACTGCAGAAAGTACACCATCTGCATGTGCGTGTTTGACATCCTCAATGCCAAGGAAGGACTGAACCACTCCTCTCTCCTTATTGAAGAACTTGACATAGACAATCTCATTCTCAAGGTTCCCAGTATCAGTTGCCCCGTCAATCATCACACTGATATAGCCTGCATTCTTTAGGTCAGAAAGCAGTTGCTCCCTCTCCACATTGTAGATATCAATTGTGAATCTGAAGGTAAAAAAAAAAGGGAATTTCATTAATAATGAAGGAATTGTAAAAAGTTAATTAAATAGTAAATTTGGAATGTACAGTATTAATGTATTTGTGATTCTCACCTTAAACATGCCTTGTCTGACAAGTAACAATTGGTCATGTTGGAGCCAGTCCTACTGTTGAGCTGCACCAGGTCCGGAAAGTCAGTAAATGGCTTTTCTTTCTTGACAACATAGTACGCTGTATGAAACATATTCTGCATTCTATCCTGGAAACCTGCATCTATTTCACCATTAACATGAATCCCAGCTAACACAGCGGGTGTTTCGATTGCTGCCTTCTGCCTCCTCACACACACCTGGTGTGAGGTGCTTTTTTCATGCGGGTCAAACCCTGTGGAGCGTTCTGCTACCTGGCCCTTGAAGAGTGGAGAGTCCATAAACAAGCAAAACAATCTGCTGCTTATATATCATATGTAAATAGCCACTAGCTAGCCACTAACTAGCTAGGCCTACTATACATTTATATAAAGCAATTGTTCATATTTGGTTTATTAAAATAATTATATTGTGGTCATTTTTAAAATAAAATAAAAAGGATGGTGACATTTCTGCTATGAGTATTATTATTTGTATAATGCACTTCTGCCTTCCTGTCATTATCAGGAGTTAGACATGTAATGGCTATAATATATTAGCCTCTAGCCTTCCTTGTCCTAAACTGCTGGGACATTTCCCTATAGCGAATATACCATAATATGTTCTACTCTTCACTTACTTGTCAGCATAGGTCGGCATTGATTTACAGAGCCGACAGAAGACCTTGTTTATATTGGCATCATATTCAAGCCAACTCCAACGATGAAGCCAGTGTGCCTGAAACTTTCTCTCCCTCTTCTTCTCGTACTCCCTGTCACTCTCCTTTAACTCCTCCGGTGACTTTCTTTTATTTAAGGACTGTTTTTTGCCCGGCGCTTGGCCGGTTACTGGTGGTTTTAAAAACATTTTGCCGAATGGTTAGGTGCCGCGAAAGTCTGTAGTGAGCGTGCAGCGCGAGCACGGGCCTACTCCCGCTGCACGCGAACGAGAGCCTGCTCGCGCTGCGCTCTACTCCGCAACAAACAGCTGCAGAGTAGAGCGCGATGTTGTAGCGTTAATAAACGGAACAATCTAACAAAATTGCTTGTCAAAATACCAATATCACAGAACAATGTGAATGTATGTCTTACTGTTTTTAGTGGCCCGAGCGGGCAAGTGGAAAGTACGTTATGCTGGCCCGGGGTGTCTAAATAGTGCCTCCGGGCCAGCGGGCCATTTATAATGTCGAGCCCTGAATGATGTTGGTTGTTGTTTGTGAAAGCGCCAGTGAATGAGCCCCATTAACTGAGTTTTAAACATCACTTTAAATTGAAGATCCCCATAGGCCCCGCCCACTCGATCGGATCGGCGATCGGTATCGGCCGATACTGATTCCGGCGATCGGCCTCAAAATTGGCGATCGGAGCATCCCTAATGTTAACCAGTGTTTAATCTTTTCAGGTAACATTTAAAAAGCAGAGATGCCTCAGAAACAGAGGTCCAAGTCCTGGACGGAGCTGAAACAAGCTGGAAATGAAAGTTTCAAGACGGGCCAGTATGGAGAGGCCATCAATATCTACAGCCTGGCCATCAAAGAGCTGGAGAAGTGCAGTAAGTGCTGCTTATTACCGGTTTGGATACATGCAAAATATCAGTTGGAACTTAAACATGTTTAATACAAAATTCAGAAGATGGATGAACAGCACATATGCAGTAGATACAAGGCTATTGAACATTAGAGATGCTACCATAAGTTGAATAATGAATTATCTAATCAACAGAAATATAAATGCAATTTAATAAATAAATATATATATATTTATGTCACATAACATTGGTTTAAGTAATTTTTTCATGCAAAGCAGGAGATACATTTTTGTCACTATTTTTTCCATTTTATAGACAAAACACTTTAAATGATTACTAAGAAAATAATTATCTAGGAAATAATTTGCAGATGAATAGTTATGGGAAATAATTGTTGAATAATAAAAAAAAAGTGTCAACCGTTTTTAATAAAAAATATTTCCCATCAACATATATTTCACATTGAAAATACTAATAAACATGCCTACTTTGATAACAGATATATTTGAACTGACACTTTTACTAAATCTTATCATAATAACTGTCCATCTCATCACTTGGCATTGCTATTCTTTCTCTTTGTGTCCTCAAAATGGGAATTGCAAAATGATTATTGACTGAGATTACAAACCCAGTTTGGCAAAATGCTTCTCCTAAAAACTCTAATTTGTCTCTTCAGATAAAAAGGAGCCAGAGGATTTGGGCATTTTGTACTCAAACCGTGCAGCCAGCTATCTAAAAGATGGCAACTGTGCTGAGTGTGTGAAAGACTGCAATATGTAAGTGTAATCATCTGTGACTTATTAAAATGTTTTATGTTGTCTGTAGGGTTGGGTACCGATTGGATTTCACTGGGAAAAAATTGTATTAATGAAAACATTTGATCTAATGAGTATTCTTATTCACAAATCACTCTATACAGTTTAATTATTAATATAATTGCTGTTATTGTAATTAATATTATTGCTGTTATTGTATAAAAGGATTTAATAATCATCTCCATTGTTTTCGCATTAACAAGTTAGTTCTAAGTGGTGCAATATAAGAATTTAAAATTCCCTGGGTCTCCTCTGCTGTTACACTGCAACCTGCCTGTGTGACACAGTGTGTGTGTGTCCAACACATGTCCTGCAATACATATGCTACATAATACTGTCATTTTAAAGTAAATAAATCATATTTTCATGATTTGAGGAGCGCGCAGCAAAAGACACGGAGGCTGGTTTACTTAATAGAGAAAATGGTGGTCAATGTTAACAACAAAGGAGCTAAAACGCTTAATACCCTTCATTACGTGTTAGAGAAAGAACGTACGACGGGTTGATAAATATGAAGGTGTTTAACGGGCAGCGGAAACACTGTTTTTTTAAAAATTAATAATATGATTATTGATCAGAAGTAGGATTGGGGCGGTATGATAAAACACTTTTGCACTGTAGTTTTCCAAATCAAAATGGTTTTGCGGTCTTTATGTATTTTTCCATGATTGGAAATATTCCTACATTATACTTATTGGCCCCACAAACAATTTACGGCTGGTGGCCCTCATGAGTCTTATGTGGTGAAGGATTAAGAATGCATGAAACAACTCCACAATGTATGCCATTTTTTTATTTTACAAACTTTGCGAAACAAACTACAAACTAGTCCCTTTTCCATGGAACTGTAAAGTGCACATTTAGCACCATCTTGGGATGGAACATCAGACATGATGATAATTGTTCAGTGTTCCTTTTTTACGTCTTATTTTCCCGGAAAAAGCTGTGTGGGTTGTGCATAAAACAATCCTTGTCCAGTGTAAACAATCCTTAATCCATGTGATGATTATTCCTATGGTCCAGTTTCAGTTGCAGAGCACATTTTTACAGTGTCATTGTCTTCAGTGTCTATTTTTGCATTCAGCTACACATATAATGCTAAACACTTTGTAACTGCCGCGCTCTTGTGTGTACCCCAGCATGCATTTTTAGTGGTGCCAGTGTGAGAAAAAGTTTTTAGAGAGTACTTGTCCATGGACAAGTGAGTTTGTCAATTTACTTGTCCGAATACATTTTTCACTTGTCCAGAATGTACAAAAATTGGGGCCACTGAAATCTTCTTCTTCGTCATCGTGCATCACACATAGGGTTGGGTATCGTTTGGATATTAACGATTCCGGTTCTGCTTTTCGATTCCGGTTATTTTCGGTTCTCGATTCCGGTACTTTGAGAGGGTAAAAATAATTCAAACTGGGAGAAAAATATATTTATGAAAACTAGGGGTGTAACGGTTCACAAACATTTCGGTTCGGTACGTACCTCGGTTTTTTGGTCACGGTTCGGTTCGGTACGTTTTCGGTACAGCAGAATTTTTTTTTCACAAAACATATATATATATATATTTTTTATTATTGTTAAACTGTGAATAATGTATTCACTCAAATAAATACAAAATATAATAAAATAAACATTAAGGTGCAGCTTTTCGATGAACTGAAATAATCTGTATTTGAACTGTACTGTACTAGCACCTAAGCAGCCAGTTTGACATTAGGACTTGCTTGTCATTGTATTTTCATGTTGTTCTAAAGAGAAAGGAACTTGTCCACATTGCTTGCCGAAAGGGCAGATCTGCTGGCACTAACAATGTCTCCTGCTGTGGAGAACACCCTCTCTAGGGACAGAGGTAGCAGATACAGCCAGGTAGCGCTTTGCTAACATGGCAACATAAGGATATTTGGCGTTTGTAATAGCTTTGGTTCGGTCTGAACTCTCTGCGAGTGGTGGAGGCTTACATGCTAGTGGGAGTTGGGTTTGCACTTCAGTCTTTTTTCTTTTGGTACCGGTGATATTCACGTTCGGGTGATGCCTTTTCAAGAGTGTGCAAGTTTGATGTATTGCCAGCCGCGTAACCAATTTTAGTTGAACAATGCCGACAAACAGCTTTGGTTTGGTCCACCTGTCTTTGTCCTTCATCCTTGTACGTAACTGCGAAACCAAAATGTTCCCAAACCGGAGACTTCAATGATGCTGGAGGATTTTCGAGCTCAACTTTATCTGCGTTCGCCATTAATTTTCGACAGTTCCTCAAATTACTGACTACATTTGAACGCATCCCTCTGACCAGTATAGTATGCCTCTCATCCAATGAAATGACTTGGTCGCTCTATGACGCGTTGAACCCAATGTGAGCAAATTACTCTGAATGCTGCGACGCAGCACCTGAGATTACTTCCAAAAAGTTGTTCACGTTCTCAATTTTTTACGTTTAACGTTATATTCGTTCGGTACACTTCGGTACACACCTGTACCGAACCGAAGGGCCCGTACCGAATAATTTCGGTACGTGTACCGTTACACCCCTAATGAAAACATTAAGTCAAATCTGTATTCCTATTTACAAATCACTTCATACTGTTTAATTTCTTACGGTTATTATATACAAATAATCTCTGCATTGTTTAGTTCTAAGTGGTGCAGTTTGAGAATGTACAATTGGCCCAGTCTTCTCTGATGTTACACTGCAACCTGCCAGTGAGACAGAGTCCAACCACACATGTCCAACACATAGGACATAACCTAATAATAATACATTATATTTATAGCCTATCCTTGCGCTTTTCTATAACTCAAAGACGCTTGCACGCTTACACATGTCCTGCAATACACATGCTGCAGCTGCCCAGCTGCTCACTGTTTGTAAAAGTAAATAAATAGTATTTTCATTTCAATAATGTAGCTACTTTCTATACCCTGCTTCATAAACAATACTGACATCCCTGTGCTCCTCCGAGTCTGGGGTTCCGGGGATGTGAGGACAGCGCGAGGACACAGACAGGGAGGCTGCTTTACTTCATAAAGGAAATGGCGGTCAATATTAACAACACAGGAGCTAAAACGCTTAATAACCTTCATTACGTGTTAGAGAAAGAACATAAGAAAGTTTGACAAAGATGAGGCTGTTAAACGGGCAGCGGAGCCGCTGTGTGTAGAAAGAGAGAGAGACGCTGAGTTGCACCGTGCAGCGATCAGCTGATGCAGAGCATAGAGAGAGAGAGCTGCAGTCCGCGGGGCTCGGCCTCGCCTCCTATCCTCACAACTCTTATTAATCCCGGGACCGGACAATTGTTATTTGTTCCTACTCGGAACCGAGTTTTGTTCCCCAACCCTGCCACTGTGCTACACTTCCCGCCCCGCCCCCGTCTAACTGTACAGAAAGCGGCGAGATGCATTTCCTTAGGAATCGACAAACGGAACCGAAACTAACATTTCTAAACGAACAATGGCAGACACGTACAATTTGCGAATGAGTTCTGCCTTTTGTAAACTGAATGTATCAATAATTTGTCAATAAATCAGGGCGATAAACGTCACTTGTCCGCCGGACAAGTCAATTGAAAGATCTACTTGTCCGATATTGTATATAACACGTCCCGGACGGTGGGACGTGTACTTTTTCGCACACTGGGTGCAGAAGTGAAAGGAGTCCCCTCATAACCTGTTAAGCCGCAACATCTTGCAAGAAACAGCATCTGAGGGCTTCTTAACATTTAACAAACTATGAATGTGTCATACCCACTTAACGGGAAGAAACTCAGCTACCTGATGATATGAAAATGTTTTACCGAAACAAAACACAAGTCTAACGCAGAGCCTCTGAATTAGCACTAAGCTAACGCACTTAGCACTTAACTCACGGTATAAATAAAATATGTTATACTTCATCAGAGCTGCACAAACTAGATATCATATGAGATTCCACAGATTCCAACGGTATAAGTATCATCACTGAGCGACCAAAACTCGCGAAAGCAAAACCAGACAACACAACTCCACTTTACCTAGCCAAAACGGCAAATACTTCTTACCTTTGCTGTTTTCTGATCAAAAGTTGTGTTCAATGGCATTAAAACGCATATAAACGCTGCTGAAGATTAATCCAATCCCTTTGAAATTATTACTGATAATCCATCTTCATATTTATGGCAATAAGCCTAGTTTTCAGTTTTCATAGCGTGACATAGCTTTCGGTTTGGGCAAGTTGCGTGCGCATCACTCACTCCTCAATGGTAACGTGTAGGTGGATTTAGGAACTTCCCCTCGATTCTATTGGCTTTAACGGTTAAAAAGAGATGTCAATCACCAATTGTTTTTGGACGGACACTATAATTTACATTTTTTTACTATGTTCAATCTGAATTTACTTAAAAATAAAAACATCTATATTGATTCTGACTTTTCTACATCCAACTCACAGGTTTATCATTGCTTTGAGAAAAAATATTATTAATTTACCCCTTTTTAGAAGTGAAGATATACTCATTTGTTCTGGGCATGTCATTTTCGAGCCTGAAACCTGAAAAACAGGCTCAGGGCTTAACAGGTTAATAGAGGTAAAATTCCGGTATTTGGTATGATATTGTATACCGCCCAGCACTAATCGGAAGCATGTTTGATTTCATGCCAGCAGTAATTTTGTTGGAGTAAGGATGTTTTCTTGTGCATTGTCTCTTGCAGCTTTGACTTTTAGCGGAGATAGAGCCTTTTCTGTTTTCTTGCTTATTATGGATCTGACCTGTAAACTGTTGATATTTTTTTTCTCTCAGGTCTCTGGAGCTGTTCCAATTCAATGTGAAGTCCCTGCTCCGTCGTGCTGCTGCCTACGAAGCTTTGGAGCGCTACAGGCTGGCCTACGTCGACTACAAGACGGCTCTGCAGATCGACTGCAACATCGTAGCGGCTCATGACGGCACCAACAGGTACCTGGGCATTTGTTCAACCCGTTCTTCAGGGGATTGTTTGTATCCTTTGACGTGGGGATGTATGAGGTATATCTATAGTCAGTGTTTTACCTAGAGTAGATGGTGATTGGCATACCCCTAGTTTGAAGAAATGGACATGGGGACCAGCAGGAACCCTAACCCTGGACGGGGGCAGAGGCAAAACGCAAAAGAGACCTAAAAGATGGCCCACATAAAACAATATAAATTAAAGTATAGATTATATTCATAATTTTTTCACTGCTTCACTTGCATTAAGACGTACCTTTTTCAAATGCTAACTGTAGTTATCTATGCTATCTTAAAAGCCACACCACTCCATAGAGAAAAACCTCACAGATCCCTGGAGTGACTGGTTTAATGTTATAGTTTGGATTCCTAAAGCTTTTAGTCAACTATCCCATCATTCAAGGGTGGATTTCACTATAAGAAATGGTTTTCCTTTGGACGGACACAATCATTTACATTTGTTTTACTATGTTCAATCTGAATTTACTTTAAAGGTCACATGTCATGCTTTTCCGGTTATTACCCGTCCCCTTGTGTATTATGAAGGTTTTTATGCATGTAAACGGTCTGCAAAGTCACAAACTCTCAAAGTACACCCTGTAGGGAGTAAAACTCTAAGGGTGCATTCACACCAGCCTTTTATAGTCCGGTTGAATCGAACCCTGGTGCGTTTAGCCGCTTGGTGTGGTTCATTTGGGTCGGTGTGAACACAATCCGAGACCTCGTAAGGCGAGACACCCCAGGTGAATAGGGTAATTTTTGTAACTTAAAGGTATCAGCTAGAAATGTATCCAGTTAATTACTTACAATAAGGCAATTGTTTTTTGTATTACAAGTTTTCTGAAATAGCATGTTTAAATATGCAGATTATCCATTATCTCATTAAATATGCACATATTTTAACACATTTCAGGAATCTAAATCTGAACTTTGGATATAGCCAGATTCAAAATTATTGTTTCATTTTGTAGTCATATTAGTATCTAAGGCTTTTACAGAAGGGATATTGGATATCTCTTTTTATCACTCCATAAATCAGAAAATACTGTCAACAGCCCTAAAATATCCATTTTCGCCATGTTTTTAGGTATACAATGTTGTATAATTCAGGCTATGAATTATATATGAACAAACCCTTCTGTAAAAGCCTTCATAATATTGATAGGAATATAACTGGAAGGTTTGGTGTATGTACGTGCTACTGAAGTTGAAATTTCGAACTCAGAGTAGGAGAAAAAACTCATTTTGAGAAAACGACCTTTAAAGATTGCAGTGAGGCGCTAGCTAAACCCTCCTGTTCTTTGGATGATAGCTTGCGCCTCGACGCACTCCGTGAAGGTATTTCATGTTCGGGGTCATTTGTGTTTTGTATAACCTTGCTTCGTGCAAGTGACAATTGTTGTTGTCTTCAATGTGAACGTTTTTTTCGCCGTTCTTTTGACATTTTGAGATTTACATTTCTAGCGGAAAGCTAACCAGGAAGTGTTTTAGCACACCACGTGACGCATCTGAACGAATCACGTTGTCAGAAATTGACACCAGCCAATGAGATTTCGTTTCTTGTTTTAAGACCCCTTTGTGCTTTCACGATTGGTTGCTGATACAAAGGAAATGACCATATTTGGATCCGATGAGATTGTGCAGGAGAGACACAGCTTTCCAGCGATACCTCTGTTGACATGGTGCACACAGCGGTCACGGTACTTTATGTTACGTTAGAATGCTAACTTTTGGTGAATTTAGGAGAAATCTACAGACGCAAATAGACAAACTATAGTAAAATAAACACTTAAATGTGTATTTTGTACGTTTTCCTTCCAAAAGCCTGAAAGAAAACATGTTATGGAATCAAAATAGCACAAAATCTCAAAATTGACCAGTACTTGAAAAACGATGTTTTTGCCTGCCGTGTCTCGCCTTAAGTGAACTAAACAACCGGACTCCGGTCCGCTAAAATAGGTGGTCTCAGAACGCTTGCGAACTCTGGTGCGGTTCATTGCTGGTGTGAACGCAGTCCGCACCAAAACATAGGAAGCGTAGTATTTACATATCACAAGAATGTCTTCAAAAATCTTTAACAAAAGAGTCTTTCAAGACATCCGCGGTTGTTTAGTTAAAGAGTGAAGCAGAATTAAGTGTTGAACAGTGTGGTGTAAAGTAGGGCTGCAACAAACGACTAATTTGATAATCGATTAATCTATCGATTAATGAAACGATTAATCGACTATTCGGACTATTACTATTGCTCGTGTTACCGCCCTTACATGCTAAACTCTTATTGCACTTTTGGTAACGAGTATTCTCCACATCGAGACGGGTAAAGTTTAACCACACCTCGGAGCGCGTTCTCTCCGCCATCTCCGCAGTGTGTTGCTGCATGTAGCAGCTGCGTGTGTGTAAACTGCCCCGCCCCCTCGCACACAGACGGGGGAGAGAGATCTCGTCTGATCGAAATACATCATAGACGCATTTGTTTGTCTTTTTGCATATTAGAAACGAGTTGGCGACACTAAGACTGCGATATAATGTTTTTGTAGCAATAATACGTGACATATATTTTTTAAATGTCTCCAGTACCGATAAAAAGACCAATAACGTTGGAGCTTAACGGCGCGTAAAACACATGTGATGACGTCACCAACGAATCGACGACTGAATTAGTTGGCAACTAATTTGGTAATCGATTAAGTCGATTAGTTGTTGCACCCCTAGTGTAAAGTAAAAATGCTCCGTCAACTACATACAATTAAGAACACCTGTCGTCGGTGAAACGCCCCTCCTTACTGCAGAACGTCTCATTATGTGTTATAATGGTTTTTAACGGACGTTGTCTGATTATATAATTATATGCGCGGGCCGCTAGTGTCCGTTGACCTCCAGATTAACAGCAGCATGAGAATAACCTGCCGAGAGTGCCGATGCTCCATGGCGGAGGCTCCGGTAGAAATTGCCGGGATTTGCGTTTTTACCCACTTAATGTTGAAAAAAATATTTTTTCCAATAACTTTTGGAAACAAATAAATACATGTTCAAATAAGTATAGAAACCGAGTCGAATTGGTCAAATGTATTGAACTGGTGATCACAGTTTGACAGCTATAGGCCTACAGCTTTCATGTGCGGAGGCGATTCACAATCAGGCCAGCTGTAGAGAAGACCCTCTCAGCTGGAACGGAGGTTGCGGGTATAGTATGTATATAAGTTTAATTTAGCATAGTTTGCACTCTACACCGCACTCACTAACCTGGTCGAAATATTTCCACACATTACTCCTTTTTGACGCCATGTCTGTTGTGTAGGACTCTTCTTAGAGTGTAAATAATTACCGGACTATGACCGGTAAAATATATTGAATACCGGCAAAACTAAATCTCTCCTGTAAAAATGTCTATGTACTTTGCCGCCACACACGGTTGCCAAGCAGCGCTTATTGTTGTTTAGGCTGGCCACTCATGTGTCGCGAGTGTTGACAGGGGGCGGAGGAGCACGCTCATGAACTGTTAGCGCCGGAACCTCGCAACGGCTGCGGAGCGCATTTGGGCATAAGATGAGGTTTGAGTCTGCGTGATCTGCGTGTAGGGAGGGGCAGCAGCCATATCATTAGCTAGAACTAGCTAGATCTGATGGATTTGGACATAAACGCGAGTGAAGTATAACCGGACGCGAGAGAGAGAGAGATCAGCACCTGCAGCTCTGCCCGCTGTGAGGGACCGGTGAGCGGAGCAAAACACACCTTTAGACGTCACCTAACACATTTAGCTATGGCACTGTTGTATACATTGAATTATTCAATTTGATAATATGTAATCAACTTAGGCATCCCTCCCCAAAAAAAAATAAAATGAATTACTCATATTCGAATACCTGAATAATTTTGAATATTCGATTAATCGTTCCCATCCCTAGTTTATAGTCCGTTTGAGTTTTGACCAATCCGCGGACTTCCTCACACACTCGATCTTTTCTCAGCTGCAGCTCCGCCGATTTCTCCTCCCTGAGATGACGGGATGTGGCGAGGCTGTGAGTCGGTGTTCGGGCTGGGTTTAGCTGTGTCTCGCAGACTCATAGGCTCATAGGGAGGGGGGGGGGGCAAGAGATCCAACAAGCCGTTTAGGACAGAGTGAATACACATACTATACAGAGATGCTGTATGAGAAACCAATGTGATTTTGGAAAATTGCACAATGTAAATCTATTTCAGTAGACCTCAACAATGGAATTATGATCAGTGGAAATGGCCATGACATGGAACCTTTTTAAAATAAAAAAATTCTATATTTAGTGCGAATGCTATTTACAGCATTCCACTATAGTTCTTCAAATCTTTATTCTTCCCCTTAAACTTATTATTATTTCAGCCAATACTTTGGCACTCCATAACTTCAGCTTATTTTCAGCTACAGAAGCCATTCAAATATTAAACTATTCAGCCTGTTCAGGAATCGATGGGAAACCTTCAACTTTTTAAAAATCTTTCATACTTTTTGAAATATTCAGCTTTTTAAACTCTTTTTTTAACATTGAAGTCAATGGGAAGAGCCTTCAAATCAGCCAATAATTTAGCTCTCCATAACTTCAGCTTACTTTCAGCCACAGAAACCATTCAAATATTAAACTATTCAGCCTTTTCAGCAATTGATGAGAAACTTTCAACTTTTTCAAAATATTTCATACATTTTGAAATATTCAGCTTTTTAAACTCTTTTTTTAACATTGAAGTCAATGGGAGATGCCTTCAAATCCTGTTTTCCTACACCTTGCGCCAAATGCTTCTCCTTCCACATACTTTCAGCTAGACACTTCACTCCAACTTTCAAATGATCACAAGACCTTCAGCTATTCAATTCCTATTCAGATTTTTGATATCTTTTAAACATTTTGAGATATTGAATTTAGTTTGGAGCTTGGTAGAGAGGCCTTTTTCAGATTTTAACATTAGAGTGGATGGGAGCAGCTCGTTAACTCTAGAGTGTTTTGATCTCAAAACAGAGTGCAGGACAGCTCGAAATTCTCCCCAAAAATGTTTTAAACTTGCCATACTTCCCAAACCCTACACTCCTCAGACATATTTTTTCATGAAAAACGTAGGAAAACCTCTCCTAGGTTAAAAAAAATAAAAATAAGAACAAATATTAAATAAAATGCCTCTTGAGGGCATGAAGAGAGAAAAAGTCCAGCTAGCTCCCAATTGATTCCCATGTTAAATTGTTCCAGATCTTTCTTCAGAGCAGAGAGAACTACACTTTAGACAAACTGCTCCCATCTCCACATTTCAAACCCAAAACCCAAAAAACAAACATATTTCAGTTCATTGGGGTTCCCTGATGCTCACGGTCTGGTCATTTTTTTACAAGACGGCAAAATGGTCAGATATAATCCCCAATGCATTCTTATGGGACTCAGTGCTGCAGTTGGTTGACATGGTGTTGCTGGGCAGATTGGAGCCACACACACGTGAGTGACATCATCCAATCAGAGCAGACACCATGGAAACCTCTGATCTCTGGGTTTACACACACAGGTGTTTGTAAACATTCAATCACTACTACTTACATTTAATATCTTTATTTAACTCCTTCAGCCTAATTTCAGCTGCAGGAACCATTCAAATATCAAACTATTCAGCCTTTTCAGCACATGATGGGAAACTTTCAACTTTTTCAAAATATGTTATACTTTTTAAAATATTCAGCTTTTTAAAGTCTTTTTTTAACATGGAAGTTATTGCAATGCATTTGAGCTGTAACAATTAACACACACCCACTCTCACACCCTCTCACACACACCCTCACACACACCCTCTCTCTCTCTCCTCTCTCTCTCTCTCTCTCTCTCTCTCTCTCTCTCTCTCTCTCTCTCTCTCTCTCTCTCTCTCTCTCTCTCGCTTTCTTCCCCCCCCCCCCCCCCCCGGGGAGCAGTTTAGGGAACGGTGCCTTGCTCAGGGACACCTCGGTAGCACTTGGTCTTGCCGGGACTTGAACTGGTGACCTTCCAGTTGCCAAGTCCCTATCGACTTTGCCACCACCGCCCCTAAACACACACACACACATACCTTGTGGAGGTATTTTCTGTGTTAGAGTTTACTCGCTACAGGGTGTACTTTGAGGGTTTTGACTTTGCAGACTGTTTACATGCATAAAAACCTTCATAACACACAAGGGGATGGGCAATAACCGGAAAAGCATGACATGTCACCTTTAAATGAAAACAGAGGAGCGACATTTCGCCACAACTGCGCCGAGCACTTGACTTTATGCAGGCAGCCAGACAGTGGGACATTGTACGAAAAGTCAGCACACTCGGCACGGATAGTGCGCAACATGATTGCAGCGTCCAGGCAGCTCCCGTTCGAGCATATGCCTTGAGTTGCACATAGCTCCAACGATCCATCACACACACACACACACACACACACACACACACACACACACACACACACACACACACACACACAGTATTGTATGAGAGAGGTTCCAGGTTGTTGTGTTTAATATTCATGAGAATATTTGTCATTGTTCAAATGATAATAAACATTAGCATAAAGCATATTTGTCCACTCATATGTTGATAAGAGTATTAAAAACTTGAAAAATATTCCTCTAAGGTACATTTAGAACAGATCAAAAATGTGCGATTAACTATGGACAATCATGCGATTAATCGCGATTAAATATTTTAATTGACTGACAGCCCTACTAATAACACATTCAGCTTTTTCTGCATTTTCAGCTAAATTCAGCCATAAATGTTCACAGTTTACAGCATTTACACGCATTTTCTGCAGGAAATGCATTTTCTAGTGATTCTGGCTTTTCTACATCCAACTCACAGGTTTATCATTGCTTTGAGAAAAAAGATTATTAATTTACCCTTTTTAGAAGTTGATATAGTAATTTGTTCTGGGAATGTCATTTTCGAGTCTGAGGCCTGAAAAACAGGCTCGGGGCTGAACTGGATGAATTCAAACATTCCTTTTTTAATAACTAAAAAAACAACAACAAAACAAGTAACATATTAGCGCAAACGAACAAACCCATCGAGGCAGCGGTATTCTCCTGTGTACTACAAAGTAAAATGACAATGGAGTCTGGTGGCTTTGAGTAGAGCAGAACATATCTTCAGTTAATTCTAGAAACAGCCATCTCAGGGTAAAGTTATCAGTTAAATATAGTGTAAACTTTAGCTAAACAATGTTTAGCTTGTGCACCGTTTTACTGCAGTATATTGTTGGTACTCCTGTCGGTTTCTCCAAAATTGTATCTGCTGTTGGATAAATATGTTTCTTAAGGTTTTTCATTACAGAACCAAAAAGTTGTATTCACAATGTAGTGTGTTTTGTGCTTTTACATATCTTATCTATCTATATTTCAGGTTGTTTTTGTCAACCTGTTGTAGCACATGCTACTTTTTGAACTGCACTTTCTGATGGTGAAAGAAGCCTGGATTGTATCTTTACACCTAAAGAACTAAATAATATGATTCAGATTATTTTCCCATCCTTTTTACATTTCTTCTTTTATTTGTTAGGATGACGAAGGCGCTCACAGAGGCAGACGGTCTGTCATGGAGGGAAAAGCTTCCTCCCATCCCCGCCGTTCCCATGTCTGTCAGAGAAAAACTTGCTCAGAAAGCCCAAGCCAACGCAGCGCCACCAAACGCTACACCCACACAGAACGGCACCCAACAAACCAGCAAACCTGGTGAGGACATTTAAGATTTCTGTTGTGTCCTCTCATTCTGCACAATTCAACCAAATCCCAATATGGCAACTACACGTTTATGCAGCTCCTTCTTTATGCCCATGATCACAAATATGATTTGTCTTTTTATGTATCTAAAACAGGGGTGGGGAACCGTTTTCCTCTCAAGAGGCGCTTTCACACCAGAGTACTTTTCCCAGTAGAACTAGAACTTAGTTCATGAGAACCTTTCCACCCCCTTTTCCGTCCCTGCTAGAGAGCAGGTACTTTCATAGGAGAAAAAGGTTCCCATTTCTGATTGGCTGGGCAGATTCCAAACCACGCCCCATAAAACTCCCAAAAAGTTTTGTGATGCCGCCATTTTATTTGCTTGCATTATTAGCATTAGTCCAGCGCACCAACGGAGAGACTAATTTATGGTAATACAAAATAAAACATGGGAGCGGTGGAGTGATGAGGAGGTGTTGGCGGTCTGGCGATTTACTCGGAAGGCTTCAGTAGAAGCTGCTGGGAGTCCCAGCAGCTTCTACTGAAGCCAGTCCCCAACGCCGGGGACTTCGGGTGGCAGTATAAGCCGTGAAGTTGTTTGCAGCCTGCCAGTAAACCCAAAGCAGAAGAAGTGACGTCAGCGGCTTAATTTGCCTAATCCTCCCTCAGGGACTTATTCCGGTGTGAACGCGATCTGTACTTAGTTCATGAGAACTAAAGAGTTCTGATGAACTGCAAAGTACTTCGTGTGAAAGCGCCTAAGGGCCATTTCAATTTTTTCAACATTCTTAGAGTGCCGTACAAATTATTGACCTCTGCTTAAAAATAAAAATAATGCTGTGCAAAGAAAAAGCAACCTCTTAATCCAGATATCTTACCATGACTCGAGTATTCACGTGCACGGTTGTGGCATGACCACCAAAACAGAAAGATATGGACGCAAATGTATTTAGTTTCCTATCCATGTGAACATGATTTAAGTGGGGGGGGGAACCTAACATCCTCTAGGGCAGTGGTTCCCAAACTTGTTGTGCCAAAGGCACACCAAAGGACAAGTAAAAATCTCAAGGCACACCTATTGTGCAAAATAGCCCTTATAACACGTGTTATCACTCATATCATGTAAAATATCTGTAAATGTGCATAATTATTTACTAATGCCAAATAAAATGTGACAAAGACAACTATATTACTCATGAAATATTTATTAACGAAATATTTCAGAAATTATATATTTTTTATCCTTGGTGGCGCTGAGGAGAGGGCCACTCGCAAGTCCTGTTCAACAGAGAGCCGTGACCTCCTGTTGTTCTTCATGTAAATCAGAGTAGAGAATGCCAACTCCAGAGATGGGGTTACTATTTTTTTTTTAATATATTACATATTACTTTAAAAAAAGTAATATATTACACTACTTCGTTACTATCTACATAAAGTAACTCGTTACTTTACTCGTTACTTTACTCGCCGAGCACGTACGAACTTGCGCATGCGTGAGTGGCAATAACTCTCCTTACCAGCAGGCGGCGGTAGTGTGTATGTGTCATTCAAAACAGGCAACAACCGGAAGACAGAGAAGAAGAACAGACTGCGTGATATAAACAAACAACAAATAGCGTGTGCGGTAGCTTCACCTTAGCATGTGTTCTTTGCAGGTGCTTGTTGAGGTTTGACCACGTGGTGTTTCCAGCAGTGGATAACAGCTTCTGGCCTGGACACAGTTTGCACCTCACCGTCACATTCCTGTCTATTCTTCGGACGAACTCAAAGTAATGGGCAGACCTCCACCCCTCGAGAGTTATCGCTGACTCAGCCATGTTTATGCAGCACTGCACGTGGAGATGTGGACGCGCAAGTCGCGCAGATTACGTACTTATAAACCTACAAAGTACTGATATTATAGTAAATAAAAAAAATATTATTTTTGTGTAGTTGTATATTGCAATAATAACGTATGGTTGTCACAAAATCCCACGGCACACCCGGACTTGCCTCACGGCACACCGTTTGGGAACCACTGCTCTAGGGGGGTCCGGGGGCATGCTCCCCCGGGAAGATTATTATTTTTAATATTGAAGTTGAAAGCATCAACAATCTGGTGCACTTTGAGAGCAACATTAGTAGATCTATGGAAACATCTCTCAACATCCATATGAAACAGAACTGTAAGCAGATTTATTTTTCTTTATGGATATTTTACAAACCACTCTCCTTCCAAACTGTATTCTTGTTTATTAATAACAACTTATTTTTACTGTCATATAGTATTTTATACCTGTTTACTTTATTCTCTTATTTTTTTATAATGATCATATAAAGATGTGCCTTTACCTCACTGGTTGTAGAAAAAGCTTCTTATATTCGTTAGCATAGCTAGCTAACCAGATGCTAATAACAACAAAGTTATTGACTGTATGATCTGTATGACAGATCGCCACTGGGCTTTCAACTAAAGACACAGCCACGCAAAAACTGCGGCATGTGTACAGCTCCTTATGGGTACTGCAATTTATGAAGTGCCGGAGCAACGTTCTGGTGCTCTCCGTCAGAACTGCACCCCTGTCAGACGAGACATATACCACGTGATGACACGTTAGGCTCGTGTTGTGTTCAAGGACCCTGACCGTGGCCAGGAAAAACAGGCACTCGCTTGTTTAATTTTTTTGCGGCCTAGATTTAAAAAAAATAATTTTTGCATGTGTTTATAAATTACCTCGAAGGCCGTACCAAATGGTCTCGTGGGCCGTATACGGCCTGGGGGCCGGTGGTTCCCCACCCTTGATCTAAAATGTTCTTCTTTGTATAAGAGGTAGTTTGAGAAATTGATTTAGATGTTAATGCATGTTATGGCACTTTTTCACATTTGAGCACAATACTGCCACTTTAAAACTGCACAACTCTTCACCTTTAGAATTTAGATAAACTTCACTTATTTTCTGCACAAATTCTGAATTGGATCTTTTTCTGATATGACCTTTTGTTCTTCCCTCCTGTTGTCAGCTCTCAGTGATAAAGACGTGAAGAAAGCTCAGCTCCTGAAAGAAGAAGGCAACTCTCTGGTGAAGAAAGGCGAACACAAGAAGGCCATCGAGAAGTACAGCCAGAGCCTCAAACTCAACCCCACCGAGCCCACCACCTTCACCAACCGGTGGGTACCCAGAGTTTCCGCTAAAAAAAATGTTTTGCCGGTCAACATGTCCGTTAAAGTTGAAATCTTCCGGACAAAATGAGAAAAGTGCCGTCTTCTTTGTTATTTATTGAGCTTTAAAACAAATTGATATGATTCGATATTAAACAAACTAATTATAGTATATTAACTACATTATTCAAAAGTGTGCAGTAACTTATAATAACACGGGAATAATAAACGGAGCCCTCTCTCTCTCCTGATAGCCCGTCAGTATCATGCAGCTCGCAGATCCAGTAAAAATAAACATATCTATAACTAGTGTAGTAGTTTGAGAGGTAATTAAAATAGCTAAGTGTGATTTTCTAACCTGAAGTGCATGTTTTGCTCCGCTCACCGCTGCAGGTGATCATGCAGAGTTGGTGTCAACTCGTCAGCAGCAGCTGATTAGACTTCACTCACGTTTATGTCCATATCGATCAGATCTAGCTAGTTCCAGCTAATGATATAACTACCTGCTTATCAAGACACCTAAACAATAAGCGTCGCTATGCAACCGGGTGAGGCCGCAAAGTATAGCGCAGAATTATGCATTTGTTTACATGCCCACCGGAACCTCGAGGCATTGCCAACAGATCAACGCACAATCAACCCATACAGGATCTCTTTCTCCACATTAAGTGTTAGACATTAGAATTGACTATTCTTGTCTGTCACATATAGGGATGGGTACCGAGAACCGGTACTAAGTCAATACCGGTACCTGATTGGACGGTATCGGTATACCGTTAAACCGCTGGACAAACGGTGCTGCCATCGGTATATGTGTTACGTCTACTTCCTTAGTTTAACTTTAAACCATTCTGGTTGGTTGGGAACCCTCATCCCGTGTGATGTATCCGGTTTGAGACCCCTCTGATTGGCCACCGTAAATAAATAATAATAATAATAATCCTTATATTTATTATAGCGCTTTATCAAAGACTCTCAAAGCGCTTTACAAATACACATTACACATACAGATCGTACATGTAATGGTCCTCTACTGTGGACAATACCCACAGGAGCAAATTCGGGTGAAGTGTCTTGCCCAAGGACAAAACGGCCTGACGCAGTGGGGCGGGAGCGGGTTTCGAACTGGAGTTCCCCAACGCCCCCTTGATCTGATGATCAAACGCACAGACCACTGCGCCACCCGTCCCAAAAATGCCACTCGTCATCTCTCTCAACAACGTTCTTATTATTGTTGTGAGACTCCCGCAGGCATGGCGGACAGAGCGAAGCGATCGAAGGTCTGGGTGTACTTTATGTAGTGGCGATAGTGCAAGGTGCAATCTATGTACTCAATTAGTTGCTTGTAAAGGGGGTAACACAAGCAACTTAATGAAGCAGTTGCAAACGAGACACTCAGTGAATCTAAAACGGTGCAGCGTATTTGACATGTGGCTGCTAGCGATGCTGCTAGTTCTAATAGTGCTAGCGGGCTTCAGCCGCGCCGTGTGTAAATGTGACCTGAGCGAAGGCTCGCATGCAGGTTAGCTGCTGCGCACGGTTAATATGTTTACCTGAGTAAAGTCTTGCAGGCACATCGCCTTGTCTTTTTTTAGTTTAGTAACACTGACAGTGTATTAATGTGAGCTCCTACACCTACAATAATTTGGCCTTTCATTGAATGCTTTATAAACCAGTTAAACTTACAGATGTCATTGTGAATTGGAAAACTGCATTTAAATGTTGATAAAGGTCAACGTTTCAATGTATGGTTCAGCAATTGTTGGTCGTTTACTAGGAATTTACATATTTTAAGCTCAAACTTTGTTCTATGTTTAAACCTTCAGACACATTTTGACGAGTTTCAGTTCAGCACATCATTTATTTTGTGATGATTTAAAAGTGCAATCCAGAATAATATACGTACTCGCCTTTATTTGTTTGCCATCTTAGCCTTTTTACCAATGTATTCATATCACAGTTTTGCATGATGTCACTGTGGGACAATGTTTTAAGGATCTCTTGTCGAGCTAGGTTGTCAGTTTGAAATGTCTGGATGAAGATGTAACTGATTTACAAATGTTAATTTTTTTTTACTGTAAAACAGTTTGAATAAATTAGATTTTGTGTGTGTGATCAGGGCGCTGTGTTACGTGTCGGTGAAGCAGTACAGAGACGCCATCAGAGACTGTGACGAGGCTCTGATGATGGACAGCAGGAACATCAAGGCGCTCTACAGGAAGTCTCAGGCCTACCTGGGGCTCAAGGTGAGCGCACAACCTTCACACACATGCACAATAATCACATGTTGGTTTTAAAGGCGCAGGGGACACATTAAAAGCATATTCCCCCCTTGATATTTCCTGTAGTTTCTCCTCCAGCAGCTTCTACTCATCAGTATTCAACACTAGGGATACTTATCGTTAAGATTTGAATGGTACTACTACTCTTATTCGATCCGGTACTTTAACAGTATTTTAATCGGTACTTTTTGTTATTTTTTAAAGGGAAAAACTAAACAAATTGTAACCGAATTATCGTTGCTTTATTTAGATCTCAAATAAATAAAGTCTATATTATTATTATTTTGTATTGTACTTCAGTACAATTTCGAGGATCTATACTTGAGTATTTCAAAAATGTTGCTACTTTGTATTTCTACTCCACAATAATTCAAAGGTAAATCATGTAAGATAAGATGGTACTTTAGGGTATGTACTTTTGCTCTGCCACATAGGCCTGTCACGATAAGCAATGAATTGACTTATCGTGCGATAAATAAAAATGAACTCGATAACTTTTCTGACCTCGATAAATTGCCGTTTACATGCGTGTTTGTTTACATAAGGATGTGACCAGCATTTTAGCCAGGCGCGCTGTGAGGGGCGGGGCTCACACACAGCCAGGTCAGGACACTCCTCGTGCAACAGTGTAGCAGTCACATTAATAATATAGAGACAAGCGGAGACAACGTATGACTTACTCGAGGGGAATTTTAAGTTAAATGGAATTGTTTGCAAAACCTAATTCCACATCTCCGGTGTGGGAATATTTTGGATTAAAGACAAATCCACGAGGCAAACTTACGGACTTGAATGAGCTGGTATAGCTCATTCAAACACGGCAGCTGGTGATGAAGAGCCCCCACCTTCCCGACTTACTTTATTTTAAAAAACAAAACATTTTTACTACTGCATTTTCACAAATGCAATTGCGTGTTTTGGCCACAAGAGAGCTCTGTTTTCTAGCCTGAGTCTATTTAATGTATTGTTTTGGTTGTGTATGATTTATTTAATAAATGTTTTATAATTGAATTTATTTATTATATATCATTTAAATATTATTTAACATTTCATTTGCAATGTTGAATGTTCAATAAAAAAGGATGTACTTGAATTATTTTATATTATTGCCCACAATATTATCGTTTATCGCAATCATTTCTGGGAAAATGTATCGTCTAACAAAATGTATTATTGTGACAGGCCTACTACCACATTTATATAATCAAAACGTATAATATATATTCTCAAATTGGCCAATCTGCATAATGAGTAATTTCACTTTTGATACTTTCAGTATATTTTGATGCTCATGCTTTTGTACTTTTATTGAAGTACCATTTTGCAATGCATGACTTTTACTTGTAACTTAGTATTCATACACTCGGGTACTTCTTTACTTAAGTACAAGATCTAAGTACTTCTCCCACCTTACACGTAACTCGAAACAAAGCTACGAGTTATGGCAGTCGTTAACTGTGCAATTTTCCGTCTGAATATGAAGCCTTTGTGTATATTTTTTATTTATTTCTCCAGTACCAATACCGGTAATATCGGAGCTTATCAATATCAGTCTTTAAAAATGTAGCCCGGGGCCGTTTAATACCGGGTTTCGGTACCCATCCCTACGGAAAAGGGTACAGCTTATCAATAAGTGTATTTATCGATAGTTTTGTGCAAAAAATAAAGCCATTGCATGAAAAGATCAACAACTTGTATTTATTCTCTTTCATAAATGTCAACAGTTCTAGATTTTAAAAATAAATAATAATCTTGACGCTCCCTGGAAATATTTGAGATACTCGACTGATCTCCCTTGTGACCTCTGACAGCCGGGAGCTTCTGTCTTCAGCCAGCTGTGGGGGGGCTCTGCAGAGCTGCAGACAGCAGGCACAACATCTGGAAGCTCAAAGTGTGTCTAACTTACCTAGCAAGCAAGTTAGCGGTTTATGCTGTGCCAGCTATTTGCTAACGAACCTACCAAAACAAACTGGACTCTGTAGTAGTAAAGCGCTTTCAATCTTTTACAATAAAGTTGGATACGGCACGGTGACACTCCGCTGCATGTTCCTGTGTTATTGTCCCTCGTTGATGATGAGAGGCTGCACTGAGTCGCTCCAGAGCATAGACGGCACGTGAAGTGTAACTCCAGCATTAGCAGCCACTTAGTTCAACAAAGAAGAAACGGAATAGAAATAAAATAGTGCAAGATTATGTGACAAGACCAATGTGTAAGTAATGCAGAAGTGATATATACATATGTCAAATATAATACATACAAATGTTTACTATAAATGTAATCCAGAATAAGAGGGAGTAAAATGTCTAAATGTGTGGTAACACCTGCAACTAAATGTTTGATTTGAGTGTTACCGCTCTCCTCAGCCTCTTTCAGTTCCTAACCCTTAATGTCCTCTTGTATTCCTGCAGGACATCCGAGCCTGCGAGGACAGCATCAACGTGCTGCTCCGAGTGGAGCCCAACAACTGTGCTGCCATGAAGCTGCTGGAGGAGGCGCACAGGAAGTGAGGAGCGTCAAGGGGGGGGGGGGGGGGGGGGTGTGGTAGTAAGAGTCGCTCACTGCACTGCGTCCACAACCAAGAGGAAGCAAAGTCACTAGTTTCAGAATAAGAGCCCGGAAAACAGCCGTGCAGCGACACCATTCAGTCGCTTTAAGTCAAAGACTCGACCTGCGTTTCCCACAAAGCCTCACTCACATCGAGCACACGTTTGATCTGTTTACTGTCTTTGGAACAAACGCGGTTTCAGTGTCACTGAGTATTTATGGTTATTTAAACGAGCTGGAATGATTGCATTATAATTCTAAATCAGAATAAACCTTTACCGACATGATTTGTTAAAGTGGAGCTCCTGCTTAATGCAGACACTTAAATGTGAAAAGTCCACTTGTATGACGTCTTACATTTAGGTCACATGATCCCAGTTCCTTTTGCTGATGTCTGAGGCATCAAGTGCAGCTGGTTAGGTTCCAGGTAGGAGGGGGTGAGAATAAATACCATCTTATTGTGGTATTTATTACTTTATATATTGTGATGCAGTAAAGGTTAGGACATCCAATGTACAAAGGTGTGAAACAATCACAGAGCCAAAAGTACTGAGACGAAGTAAAAAGCACATTGGAAACAGTTGGACCCATTGTCTCTCAGTATAAACACCGGGGCTTTTTTCATGAAATAAACTCCATATTGAAGCCCACTTTAGAAAATGTGATCAGTAAAGGTTTACTCTGTTTAAACTCAAAGTTACGAACATCTTTTTTCCACGGTGTTCTTCACAACGCAGGATGAGTAAAGTACCTGAGGCTTGTGAGTGTGTGTTTCTCAGTGGAATGATTGCAGAGATTCTTCATGTTAGGGTTTAAAATACTTTGCCTTGGCATTATAGCATGTTTTATTACCTAACACCACACTTCAGCGTCCATGTTTGCTCTTTCTCATGTACTTCTGGATTATTCTGGCAAATTGACTTGAACTCTACTTAATCAAACTGTTAATAACGATAACCTCGATTTCACTTAAAGGCAACATAACATGTTTTTACATGAGTTTTGAAGCTTTGCCATTAAGTTTCATACTTGTCAGCCCACACCTTATCTCCTGTTTCATTTCAGACTTCTGAGTCGTCTGAGTCACTCCACTGAGTAATATTTGTTTGTTTTTTTGTTCAGAGCCTCAGTTTGTTCCTCATGAAAGACAACAATGTGAACCAAGTAAAACGGTCCTGAGGGGTCATTTTATAAAAGTACTATCCATATCGTTCCTCCGATTGTTTTATTGTGAAAAATAAAGGTAGTGAAATGTCTCATGGGTGATCCTGCTGTAGCTCGGCAAACTCCATCTTGCCTGAAGTGCCTGTCTCATCCTCCGCCTGCTCTGCGCCTCTCTGCTGACGCGTTAGTAAGAAAGAACTCCTCCAGTTAGCGTAGAGAAGGTTTGTGAAACACATCTAACTTACTTCTGTCTGCCGAGTGACCGCAGCCCCACTCTGTGATCGGAGTTCCTTTTGTTTTATCACGTTTTGGTAAATTGCAATTTCTGTCAGCCTGCTTCTGTTTTAACGTCAAATAAAAGTAAGGAATAAACACACCATGTTTTGTTTGCTTATTTGCTTTCTAGTAGACAGAGGTGTAAAGTACCACTGTACTGAAGTACAATTTTGAGGTATTGTACTTTGAGTATTTTAATGTTGTGCTACTTTGTACTTCTGTTCCACTACAATTCAGAGGTAAACAATCAACCTTTTACTCCACTACATTTACCTAGCACCTTTAGTTAGTTTACAGATGTGGATGAATGATGTGAAATATAATCAAGTGTTGAATCAGACTTTAGTTCCACCTGGAGTAAATCCACCAGCTACCCTGCAGTATACAAAGTCATTCAAACTAGCTGCACCTTCACCAGCTTTGAGAACACTTTCATGATCAATCATTATAAAACATATCATATATATTATTCTGAAATGGACCAATCTGCACAATGAATACTTTTGGTACTTTATATTTAGATGGAAATACTCTTGTACGTGTAATGTATGCGAGTAACATTCTGACTAAGGACTTTAACCTGTAACAGAGTATTCCTACTTTTACTTAAGTACAAGATGTGAGTACTCCTCCCAGCTCTGCTAGTAGATGAGAAGATTGAGACTTTTTATATATTTTGGTTCCATGTCCCCATATGAAGCACGATGGCAGAAATACCAGGGTGTCTTTCCACATCTGCTGCGTTCTAACATGTTTCTTGTTCTGATCCACAATCTTTTTGCGCAATCAAAGTTCAAGGTGCAATGTAAGGATGAAGTAGTCCCAATTGTATCCTAAAGTACATAATTGCATAACAGCATTTTACATTTGACAAGATACTATACATTTAATTTATTGTTTTACACATTACTTTTATTAAATGGTATTACTAATTGAGACACTACATTGACATTTATGACATATGACTTGACAGTTTGATTAAATGCTGTACTACGAGTCTTGCATACTTTACATTTGAGTACATACTCCAGCTGCCCTAAAAGAGTACTGTAGCATGCAGTAAGCATCACATTGTGACATACAGTGGGGCAAAAAAGTATTTAGTCAGCCACCAATTGTGCAAGTTCTCCCACTTAAAAAGATGAGAGGTCTGTCATTTTCATCCTAGGTATACTTCAACTATGAGAGACCAAATGAGAGAAAATCACAATTTAAAGAATTTATTTGCAAATTATGGTGGAAAATAAGTATTTGGTCAATAACAAAAGTTAATCTCAATACTTTGTTATATACCCTTTGTTGGCAATGACAGAGGTCAAACGTTTTCTTTAAGTCTTCACAAGGTTTTCACACACTGTTGCTGGTATTTTGGCCCATTCCTCCATGCAGATCTCGTCTAGAGCAGTGATGTTTTGGGGCTGTCGCTGGGCAACACGGACTTTCAACTCCCTCCAAAGATTTTCTATGGGGTTGAGATCTGGAGACTGGCTAGGCCACTCCAGGACCTTGAAATGCTTCTTACGAAGCCACTCCTTCGTTACCCGGGCGGTGTGTTTGGGATCATTGTCATGCTGAAAGACCCAGCCACGTTTCATCTTCAATGCCCTTGCTGATGGAAGGAGGTTGTCACTCAAAATCTCACGATACATGGCCCCATTCATTCTTTCCTTTACACGGATCAGTCGTCCTGGTCCCTTTGCAGAAACACAGCCCCAAAGCATGATGTTTCCACCCCCATGTTTCACAGTAGGTTTGGTGTTCTTTGGATGCAACTCAGCATTCTTTCTCCTCCAAACACGTCTAGTTGAGTTTTTACCAAAAAGTTCTATTTTGGTTTCATCTGACCATATGACATTCTCCCAATCCTCTTCTGGATCATCTAAATGCTCTCTAGCTAACTTCAGACGGGCCTGGACATGTACTGGCTTAAGCAGGGGGACACGTCTGGCACTGCAGGATTTGAGTCCCTGGCGACGTAGTGTGTTACTGATGGTAGCCTTTGTTACTTTGGTCCCAGCTCTCTGCAGGTCATTGACTCGGTCCCCCCGTGTGGTTCTGGGATTTTTGCTCACCGTTCTTGTGATCATTTTGACCCCACGGGGTGAGATCTTGCGTGGAGCCCCAGATCGAGGGAGATTATCAGTGGTCTTGTTTGTCTTCCATTTTCTAATAATTGCTCCCACAGTTGATTTCTTCACACCAAGCTGCTTACCTATTGCAGATTCAGTCTTCCCAGCCTGGTGCAGGTCTACAATTTTGTTTCTGGTGTCCTTTGACAGCTCTTTGGTCTTGGCCATAGTGGAGTTTGGAGTGTGACTGTTTGAGGTTGTGGACAGGTGTCTTTTATACTGATAACAAGTTCAAAGAGGTGCCATTAATACAGTTAACGAGTGGAGGACAGAGGAGGCTCTTAAAGAAGAAGTTACAGGTCTGTGAGAGCCAGAAATCTTGTTTGTTTGTAGGTGACCAAATACTTATTTTACCGAGGAATTTACCAATTAATTAATTCAAAATCCTACAATGTGATTTCCTGGATTCTTTCCCCCCATCCTGTCTCTCATAGTTGAAGTGTACCTAGGATGACAATTACAGGCCTCATCTTTTTAAGTGGGAGAACTTGCACAATTGGTGGCTGACTAAATACTTTTTTGCCCCACTGTACTACCTCATCCTACCGTCCTGAACTAGGACCCTTCAGTGGTGACTCACCATTAGGAGCACAGCCTATTGTCAGCATAAAGTGATTAAAATAATAATTCCAAAAATATGCAAAAAGTATATTTCTTAAAATATATTTAAAGATCATGTTTAGTCCTCTGATTCGTCTCTACATTGCTGTTTTAGTCTGTGTTCTTCTAATTAGTGTCCACAGTGTGCCTATTGAGCCGTGTTGAGCGATGTGGGGTAAGCCCCGATCTAGCCCCCCTCTCTCGCTGTAGAAATGAATGGGTGCTGTAAAAACTACACTGCGCATGCTCAGTCTTTTTCTATTCAATGTGTGCGGCAAAAAAAAAATCACCAGTGGGGCAAAGTGCTGGCAACCCCACCAAAACGTCATCTTATATTTCAGAGCTGATTGGCTGTAAGTACTTGTGCCGCGAAAATTCGTCAAATGTTCTGTCCATCATTTGATCTGAATGTATGTGGCTGGTGATTGATACAAGTTATAAGACACCCGCCCGTGGGCACCACTTAACAGCCAATCAGAATGAGACTGTTGTTGCATGTTTCACATGCGACTTATTTAAAATGTGAGTGATTGAGTTGTTAAGGTGAAAATGTCGGAGAAGAAAAAGTTTGAGAGTGGCGCTCGGCAGAGGCGTTTTCTCCTGGAGGCCAAGGGAAGCCAGGCTTCCCCTGTTTTTTCGGATTGTAGTTATAATTTTTTATATAAATTTAAATAAATAAAACACTTTGTTTAGTTTCGGTAATTCTTCTTTGCTGTGTGTTGCTGCCGGCCCATCTCTCCCCCATTCTTATTGAGTATTTTACAAAGAGTGAAACTGCGCCCCTCTTGAGGGATTGACCAATCAGACGAGGCTCACGTCATGCCCCTGCCAACCTGTGATTAGTCAGGGCCATGCCAAGGGAAGCCAGAGGCGGCTGGCTTCCCTTGCCTCACAATCCAATCAAATCGCATCAACTTAGTGGTGCAGTGACGCATCCTAAAACCCGGAAGTAAGCTGCGCTTGGGTTCCCTCGACAAAAAAGCAATGGGATTTCTTCATTGGATTTTGGAAAATAGCTCGAAATAAGGTCAGTGGATAACGAACCTGTTTGATAAATGCACGTTTTGTTCAGCCGGATAATATCCACATGTCTACCCTACTTTTATAATTTTTTAATCATAAATCTAATCGATAGATAGTCACTGCACCACTCTCACCGCCGTTAGAAAGTAGAAAGCAACTGAAGCAAGTGCAATTATGGAGGGTGGAGATTTGGATTTAATCAAAAATAATTGTACTAAACTTCTGCTACAGCAGCAACAACAAATACAATCTGATGACAGGCCAATGCCCAAACTGGAGCTGTGTACAGCGAGGAACAAAGGAACGAATCGGACGTAAAACGTTAAAGGTCTCCTGATTTAGTTTGTGAATGAATGCTTATTAGAGTTTGGGCTGGAGAGTGCGTGCGGACCTGTCGGTTAGATAACAGGCGTGTCCTGCATCTGTATGATACAAATGTGTGTAAAATGATACCGGGTGCTGTAATCACTCATCTGGTTACGTTATTACATTGACCACCACACACACACCCCACCTTTGAGGCCATATGTTGCTGTTCATGGTGCTGAATTAGGTGTGTGTGTGTTATTCACAGAGCCTTCCGAGGCTATAAATTACTTTGATTTGTTGTTTAAATAGGGGGCCTACAAAAGCCCCAGGGCCTGATGGCAGGTTAAGGCGGGCCTGCTCACAGTGTTGCTCCGTGTTCTTCATTCACCGCTTCTCTGACAGTATGTCATTTGACACTCTCCCCCTGCCGTGGAGGGAGTTTATAAACCTGGTTAAAGAGTAACCGGCCGCCCTTAAGGGACGCTCTAATAAGTTAAGCGAACACGCCAGCAAGACGACACTTCGCCTGGCCTCCTATTGGTTGAAGCATTTTGAAATGGTTGTTGCAGAGAAAAAATCCAAGCTCAGAGCAGAAATCTGAGAGCAGACATTTGACGAACGCATTCAGCGCACAGAAGCAGCCTGAGTGCGAGGAGAAGGTTTTAAACTGGAAAACAGGAAATATGTGCAAGCAGCAATATATCTGAGTGCAAGCGTACAGTTTGAGCAGAAGCAGAGCAAAAGGACAGGGTTTGACTGAAAGAAATACAAAATCTGAACGTGAAATCAATAAATTATGCTCTCAAATTGAAAGAACACGCTCTTGAATAAAGATAGGGAATAACCTCCATACCCTTACATAATCATGGGTCAGAATAGATTTTTTGGTATGACATACTATGTTGTTTTTTTAGTGCTTATAGGAGGATTTTTCTACCTGTGGACGGAGCCAACGTGTCTGTTAGCAGTCCATGCTAAACTACGATAACCAACGTTTATATTATGTAAGATTTTTATAAAATCTCTCCAAAGCACATTTAGAAATTCTGACTTTGAAAAGTTCATAGCAACTTTTGCTCCTGGAACATCAAGAAGTGTTAAAAGCAGGACAATTCTAGAGACACATTTCTGGGCGTTTCTCAATGTCCAGGACGCTTTCTTGGTAGGACATGTCTTCTGAGTCAGGTCCTTCAGAAGCGAGGCAAGAATCCTTCCTAGCCTCGGAAAACGAAGAACGGTGGAACAGGCTAGCAGGGGTGTTTCTCAATGTCGAGGACGCTTGCTTGGTAGCACATGTCTTCCGAGTCACTTGCTTCAGAAGCGAGGCAAGAATCCTTCCTAGCCTCGGAAAACGAAGAATTGTGGAACAGGCTAACAGGTGTGTGTCATATGCGAGGCCCCGCCTTAAATGGAGTGCGATTTCCGCCAAAGATTTGGAAATTGGTCCATGCGCAAGCATTGTGGGGATTTTAAGACCGCGGAGTCTACACATGTGCAGCCTCGAAATTTCTCGCTACGAAGTACGCCGGCCTCGGTAGAATTCCAAGTATGCTGGACATTGGAACAGTCCTTCGGCGGCACTCGATGACGTAGTATGCTTGAAATAGTGGCTCTGGAGCAGCCTTCCTCGACATTGAGGTGTGCGTCAGGGTTTCCCTTAGCCGGTAATTACCGGTTATTAGCTGGTAACATTTATAAAAAAACGGTAAATTCAAAACCTGCCGGTCAAAATGTCCGGTAATAATTAGGGATGCTCCGATCGATCGGCCGCCGGTCATTATCGGCCGATATTCACTCTTAATAGTTTGATCGGTGCTCTCTATAAAGGACGATCAGGAGAGCTGGATCTGATCGATATGGACATAAACGCGAGTGAAGTATAACCGGATGCGAGAGAGAGATCAGATCAGCTGCTGAGTCTGACGGAGACATGCGATGCATGATCACCTGAAGCCCCGCCCACTGTTTAGCGAGCTGCATGAGAAACTGACGAGCTGTCAGGAGAGAGGGAGGGGGGGAGAGAGAGAGAGAGGAGAGACAGAGGGGAGAGGGAGGGAGAGACAGAGGGGAGAGGGAGGGAGAGAGAGAGGGAGATGAAGAGAGGGGGGAGAGAGAGGAGACAGAGGGGAGAAAGAGAGGGAGGGAGAGATAGGGAGAGAGAGGATCCGTTTCTCCCGTGTTATTATCCAAAGTTAATTTAAACTTTTGAATAATGTACTTCATCTACTACAAGTTTCTTTGAATGTAATAATGATGTTTGTTGAATCATTTTTTGAAAAATGAATCTGAACTTTTCGATCTGTTACGATTATAAACTGAAGCAATATACAGATGACTCCCATTAACCCTTCTCTTGCGTTTCGGGTCAAAAGTGACCGAATGTCTTTTGTTTTAATCAAAAATATTGTGTTTTTCATCCAATTGCCTCAATACCTTATGTTATCCTCCACACTAGGCCTCTGAACATATACACTTGATGATCACCACTTGCATTGAATGTTGAGTGATTTATTCAACAGTGAAACACCCTTGATGTTTTCGGTCAGAATTGACCGCCATAGAACGAATGGGTTTGAGTGTATTATGTTCATTTTGCAGATGGAAAACATCTATATACACACGCGCGTTAAGGGAACCTCTCCCTTTCTCGGGCTGTATGATACAATGTATCATACCTTCTCACAGGTGCAAGCTCTGTGCCCCTCGAGAAACACAAACCTCTCACTTTCTCGCGCTAAATGCGCGAGAAAGTTTGAACCACATGAAGAGGAGATTGAACCAGATGAAGAGGTCTCAGAAATGGAAGACAACAGCGATCCAGACTATTATATTACATGTCATTTGTTAGACGCTTTTATCCAAAGTGACTTACTTACATTCAGTACTGTGGACAATCCCCACAGGAGCAATTTGGGGTGAAGTGTCTTGCCCAGGGACACAACGACATGCTGACTGCAGTGGGACTCGAACTTGCTACCCCCTGATTCGAAGTCCAGCACACTATACACTGGCTGTTTTTAGTAGTATAAAACATATAAAAATGTCAACATTTTACACATATTTGTGTTGATTGTGTAGGATGATATTGAGGTGACTATTACATGCAAATGTATCATTGTAAAAAAAAAAACTACCCTCTGCTTTAGTTATTGGTCCTTTAACAACATCAAAAAGATCTTACTTTAACATTTTATTTCATCAGTGAGATTTTATGGTGATTTACATATTTTATGTATAAAGATGTCTGTGGGGGGAAGGTTGGGGTAATGTTTTATTTAAATGGTTATTTAGGTTGTAATGGCAATTTTCTGTTTCAATGTCCTATATATTTGTCATTACTTTACACAGGAGGTTTTCAGAGTGATCCTGACGCAGACACGAACAGATGGATTTCCGGTCTTTGCTGCAGTTTAGAATGATGTTTATTTAGCTTTACATACCAAGGTTTAATTATGCTGTGTCAAAGGTTGTGGTCTGAGCATCTGCTGGGCTGGTGCCGTTCTGTCGTTCTGTGCTGGTGGAATCGGTATGCTCTACCTCCTGTGTCCACGTCATTTCCTGTCACCTGTGACTGCTTTTATACACCCGGTGCAGTTAAAGCCCGCCACCAAGTGTTCAAAATAGTAGTGTAGTATAAATATAAATAAAGTAAACTGACATAACAACAACACCCCTAAATGGCTCCTACATAGGTAGTCAAATAAGATACCTAAAGCACCAGAGACATACATTTTGGTTAAAATTGGATTATGATCATTGTCTTGAGTTTTAAACTACTGGGGTCAAATTGACCCCAGAGGATAAAGGGTGTAAAGTAAATCTGGGGATAACAGGAGGGTTGCACTTTAAATATGTCAACGTTTCCCTCCTCAGGAGGGAGGTTTGTGTTGGCCGTGAACCAGACATGACTCACAGATCTGCTTCTAACAAAGGGAAGGAGGGAAGCTAGACAACTGTTTAAATAAGGAAGGCACTATTACAGTGCGTCTTCAGTCAGACTGTCTGTGTTCTGATTTAGATTAGTCAGAGGTCTTTAGCATGTCCCTCCCTCCGGCTTCAGTAAAACAGCCGCTTTGGTTGAAGCATCCTGAATTAAATCCAAATATTACCAAACGAAAAGTTTCTCGTCTTCTCTCTCACTCCAGATTTCTACTTTGGGAGCTGTTTAAATTACGTTTAAGCAAACAATTGATATCCATTTCTGGAGGAAAATAAAATACAACAAAGCAGAGTTTTTCTAACCCTTCAAGGAGTGTTTATCTGAATATGAGGTATCTGCATGTATTCTGCTGGAACCAAATGAGAATAAAAGTTAGCATCTTGCTACATTTGAATACTGCTGATTTGAAAGCAGAGATGATCCAGCAGAACTCGGCCTTCCCGTTAAATATTTGCATTTCTCGGGAAAACCCAAAGCTCAATAAAACTGAGTGAATCCATGGACAGTGATTTAAAGCATTTCCTGTTCCTTCCAGACACACTTCCTGCATGCTGTGCATCTTAGAACCAGTGAACCTCAGTAGAAGTTTAAATACATTATAGTGGTAATAAACAAAGCGGGGCTGATTCGGAACTGATAAAACCTTTATTTCACTTTAAATTGTCTTTCACATTTTGTCCTGTTTATAACATGTAAGGTGAAACTAGAGCTGTTTTTTTTTTTTTAAAAAGACATACACAAATCTAGTATTACTTCAATAACCGGGGGGGAGGCGTTGAAGGAATTTTTTTTGTGTAATTATTTTTTTTTGGAGGGTGTCCTTGAGCTAAGTCTAAATGTTCACAACCACGTGCGCGCTAAGCAATAAAACCGTCACAGAAGCAAACTTTTTGTTGTTTTTTTGGGTTATTTTTTTTCTCCTTTTTATTTTAAGCATAATACTGGTCAGTAAAAACAAAATGATTTGAGATACCAGATATACAGACAGGCTCGGTGCCACATTCACTACTGCATGGGATCATTTTTTCCTTAGAAAGCGTAGAATAACTGCCTTTTTGTTCAGCTAACGAGAAAAAGAGCGGCAGGGAGGAATTCTTTTTTAACCTTTTAAACTTCAGTGCATGAAAACATTTGTCCCCAGCAAAGGAAAAAAAAACATTGACTTTTCTTCACCTAAAGAGTGGAATGTCGAGATGGTTAGTGACAAGGTTATTGTGACACTGAGTGGAGAAAATATAGATTTAAAGAACAAGAGGGGCTTTTGCTTTTCCAAAATCCGATGTTTCTCAAAGTTTTAACCGCTTTTGAACACGTACAGTATCTCGCCATTTAAACAAGAGAAACTTTAACAGTTACATCGACACAATTGTATAAGATCAGATCCAGAACATGTACCGTCAACAGCCGATTGAGCACTTTTCGCAGAGTTTAATCTAAAAAAAGGCAACGCATGTTTATGACCTCCAGCCTGAAGAGTTTAACCAATCCGACGACAGGCTCTCTCCACTCAGATGATTGACTGATCGGCTGCCAGGACATGTGGCTCCTTAACAAACATACCGTGTGAACTCAAACTGCGGCGAGGGAAACCCCCGCTTCCTCATTTATTTAGTTTTTTAAAGAATCACATTGTTGGATTTGGTTACACCCTTGTCTCTTCTTAATCAAACTTCCAGCTCTAAGATTTGTTTTGCCTGTTTATTCAAGCTCAAGAAGGAGCTACAAATGTATATTTATTTTAGCGCTTTACATATAGACATGTAATACTGGGGGAATACCCAAAGAAGCAACACGGCCACATGCTGACTGCAGCAGCGGTCGAGGAGGGATTGAACGTGCTTCCCTGGTCTGATGATCGGCACACTCACCACAGCCCTCATTAACGCTAGACTAAATGAATGTTTTCAGGCAGTTAGCTGATTCTAATCTTGATCTCTTTAGAGGAACAATCGCTAACTGCTGCTCATATTTAGGATTCTTAACGCTAAGAGAAAACGCTGTTGCCTCATCCATTTGTATCGGAGGAATGGTTGCTCTGGATCGGGTTACAGCTCGAGTCATTCTGCGGCGATATACCTGGATCAAACAACCCCAAAACTCACCTCTTTAAAGCAAGGCTGAATACTTTGATTTTCGCCGCTGCCTTTTCATAAATCCAACAACTATTCATATCTTAAATTGTAACTACATTTTTAATAACTTTATTATATTGTTTGAGCTTGTTTAAAATAGAATTATCTTGCCCTTTTAATGATAGTTCTTTTAGGCGGTTCTGTAGCACTACATCTGAATGCTTTTAATGGTTTTGCAAAGCAACTTTTATTCGTCAGGCTGATGCTCTTATCTTGATCCCTTTAGAGGAACAATGCCTAACTGTTATTTCTATTTTGGAAATGAGGAAGCAGGAAGTTGTCGATCCACAGACTGTTACCCTCCCACCCCCTCCATGGTTGCGGTACATTTACACGGTGATAAATGACAGCTTGCATCTCGCCGGCTGATCAGACTATTAAGCAGCGAGTGGAACTGTGTCAGTGACGGATATAAGAAGAGTTTTGGGGTTGAAAAGGAGACAGAAAAGTACCAAATAAAGTTCTGTGGGCAAGTGTCCAAAGCAAGCGGCGGACTGAAGTGGCTTCACGTTAACGGACAACATCGACCAACCGCTCTCCAAAAAACAGATTTACAGTTACACTCGAAAAATGTTTTACAATTTTACAGTTCTCAAAAAATGGAAAAGACGAGTTTGAGTTGTTACACACAGAAAGAGGAAGAAAATAGGCAATCAAAAATGAACTTCAGGGATCCACGGGAGCAGGCTTCTCCAACGTCCAGGGAATGTTTTTAATACGTTTTCAGATCAGTTTCCGGACAGAATATAAATGGGGTTAGAAAATAATAAAAAATGCTTTACACAGCAGGTTCTGTTTTAGATGCGTCAGTGTCACAATACAGCCTTGTAGGAGGACCCTTCTGTATAAACCTCAGCAGAATGGCACTGCTGCTCAAACACCCCCCCCCCCCCCCCACAGATGTTTTATCCCCAGGATCTGGTGGCAAAGAGGAGGAAAAACTAAGCATCACAGTGTTTGTTGAAAATAAACAGACAGTTTAATAATTTCTTTTGTTTTGTTTAAAGTGGAATAAAACCAGCCATATGCCGATAACACTAAGAAAAGCCAAAAGAGAAGGGGGGGGGGTGACTACACGAGAGCGTTAACTCACTATAGGAGGGGGAGGAAGAGGGGGTCACTAAGTGCGTTAACTCATTAGATTTAGGGGGAAGGGGGGCAGGGTACGACTATATATGTGCATTAACTCACTGGGGGGGTATTTGAAATGTTAGGAAGGGGAAGAGCGGAGGAGGAAGATTAAACGAGGGAGGGGAGGAGGTGGGAGTCTAAGAGATTCATTTATTTCATCGTTTTTGGATAAAAAAAACCTCCGTGCGTGCTATAAGGTTTACCTTGGAGTGATCGGGGGAGGGGGAGATGGAGTACTTTCTCTTAGCCCACCACCCCTATTTTTTGGATTTAAATATATATCTGTCTGAAGGTCAGGTGCTATTCATGCTGTTGGTTATACAGAAGGAGGTCGGGAGGCCAGGGGCTGAAAGAGGGGGGGAATGAACGGGCTGTATGTGTACGAAGAGAGGAAGAAGAGAAGAAAAGAGATAAAGGAGGAGGGAGAGAGTTGGGGGGGGGGGGGGGGGGGGGGGGGTAACAGTGAAGTGCGCTCTAGTTCTCTCCATCCCCGGCGTCGGCGTCGTCTCCCTGGTTTTCTGATGTCCACAGCTGCAGGACAGAGACACATTTGAGCCAATCAGAAAACGCCACGTCATCATTTACTCAGACAATTAAGTTGTACTTTATCTTATTTTCATCAAGATAGGACTCTTTATATCCCATGAGAAGACCAAAACCAAGTAGTGTGTGTGTGTGTGTGTGTGTGTGTGTGTGTGTGTGTGTGTGTGTGTGTGTGTGTGTCCATCATATGTTATTCCTCTGTGCTGAAGACCTCAATTGTTGATCAAAAACTTTTAAACCACATCACTGTTTCACCAGGTGACGTGCTCCCTAATACCAATGAGCACACACAGGAATGTATTTAGGATTAAGTCAAATACTCACTAAAGCAAGCAATGTGGATTAATCCGCCGCTGAAAATAGTCCCCGACAAATGCACTATTTGTGCTAGAGCAGCGTCTGCTTTAAACTCAAGTGTCCAGCTGTTTGAAGAATTACTGAGCCCTTTTTAGGATGTGACTACACATATACATACATACATACATATATATATATATATTAACATCTTCATTGGGAATCAGTGGACTTGGGGCTGAGTAGGAACATTGTAAAACAGTTTATTTACGTCTTATAAAGCAGGCTGTTCCTGTCATCTGTTCAACAAACTGTATTCATTATTACTATACCTAATTCATTGCACAGTCTGCTAAGTATTAGCACCAAACACTTTACTCTAACTGTTTACATGTACACTTAAGGTACAGCTTAAGATTTGTGTATCATTTGTGAATGTGAATTCATTTTAGAGAAACTAAACACTACTAAAAACTAGAGCGTGTATGAAAGAGGGAACATGTGGGTTGTAGAAAATAAAGGTTATGTATACTCTATATCTGGTTACCGTGTTATATATGTGGATGTCCACATACTGAAAGAGTTACAGGCCAAACTGGCTCTTCACACTACAGGAGATGGTAAGAGGAATAAGCTTTAATGACATTATGTACTCATTGTGTGTTTTGTTTGAACATGAGAAAATGCTTAAACGATATGTATTAATGTAATAAATAAATGTTTATAGAATGAGCTTATAGGGTGATTTGATGAAAAACACTGCAGGAAACTGAATCCACCCACAGCTCGATTGAACGTTATTTGTACACAACATCCCCTGTATTCTATACTTGAGGATGCAGCCCTGTCTTCACTCCGTTAAACACATGTTGTGGGACTGTATTACGTGTCAGAGTGTGTACTCACAGTGAGGTTGTCCCTTAGTAGCTGCATGATCAGCGTGCTGTCTTTGTACGAGTCCTCGTTCAAGGTGTCGAGCTCAGCGATCGCCTCGTCGAAGGCCTGCAGAGGAACAGAGGCGTTAGAAGAACATAATGCTCATTTCTTTATGTAGTCCATATGGCTGGTTTGATGCTAATGTACCTACAGGATTCCAGCCATTTGTTTCTTTATAGCTCGTCACACTTTTGTATGTTCTTTAGATCAAAGATGAAGCTAAATGTGATTTAAATCCTCTAAACAAATGTACACGGGTTCAATTAGAGTACTGAGACAACAGAAGATGAGCATCTATCCTGCAGCATTAGCATTAGCATTAGCCCAGTGCCCCAACGGACAGAGACTAACTTATGGCAACACAAAAGAAAACATGGGAGTGGTGGAGATGAGGAGGTGTCGGCGTTCTGGCGATTTACTCGGAAGGCTTCAGTAGAAGCTGCTGGGAGTCCCACTAAGTACTTGGTGTGAAAGCGGCTAATGTAATCCCTTTATTAAAAACTTAAAAACGCAGGTATGTTTGCTCCTATGAATGTTAACCAATAAAAGTGACGTTTATTTTTCTTTACACCTTGTTGCCTTTTAAGATGTTTTTTTAAATACTAGCAATTCTTTGATTAAGTTGGATTTTTGTATTACGGTAAAAAGCAACAAAAAAACGTTGCACTCACTTTTCCATTTATCGGTTTAAGACATCAAATTGAAACAAAGGCACACAGACGCTTATAACTTCACATTAGTTACATGTGTTCCCCTTACACAGAAATAAGTCCTTAGAGTGAGCCCCGCCTGAGCATTTGAAGTAATCCCTTTTCCGTGTGGGGCTTCTACAGTCTGACATGTTCGACCGCTTTGCTCAGCTGCTGGCGGAACATGGCTCCTCCTTTAATCAGGGTCTATGCAGGAATCCTGAAGTCAAATGTAATACCTTTCAAGACCTTTTTTAAGACCCTTTCCATACATTTTAAGACCTCATCGCAACTTCGAGTTCTAACCGGTTACATTGGCGACACACTTTACCTCACATTTACTATATTGATTGTAAGATAGCACAACTAAACAGAGTGCAGACAGACTACTGAAGCCTCCTCTCCACATGAACTTCAACCTCTCTGTGAAGGTCAGGTTTAATGCAGTATGCTGCTTTGTTGCTTCTGTACTCTGTGCTCTTTCATTCCAGTCAAACTCCTCAGAAACCATTAGAAACCAGTATTTGACCAATAAACAAAACAATTGACAAAACTTTGAACTATGAAATATATGAAACTTTGGTGAGCTTCAGCGGGGTAATGCCATATAGGAGCTCCCTCACAAATACCCAGGGGTTCAATTGGGCTGGGGCTGTCCGGGGCTAAGCCCGGCACATAGGACGATGCTCTGTCGTCATCACCCTCACACATTTGTCACATGTTTACAAAAAACGATATATATGTTAAGACTTTTCTCGTTCTTAATATAGACTATATTTAGGGTCGATATGTGTTGACCTTACTTTAAAATAGCAGATCTCTGTGACCGGATATAGTTCGGCTTAGTGAACGTGTGTCTCTTCCTCGGAGGAGGAGCATCGCCCGGACTCCGCTGCTCCTTTGCGGCTCCTCCGTGCAGAGAGTCTGCACTGCAGCGGTGTGTGTCAGCGACGTGCAGTCAGGGGAGGCACGGATTGGCCATCGGGAGAGTCGGGACTTAAACGCCGCGGCTTTCTGGCTAGCACTTAGCATGTGAGACCGGACAGCTTTGATCCCCATCGACAGACTCTTCCCCCTCCCCCCAACAAAACTTAAAATAAGAAGCAGCATTTTACGGCGCGCTATGCATGGGGCCGCCTTGAGGGGGTTTCCCGACATGTCGTTTCAGTCAATTAAAGGGAGTTTCATGTTGTCGTTGTGGACCTTCTTAATACCTTGGAAAATGCCGTTTAATACTTTTTAATTGCCTTCCTTTTCGCTAAATTGATTTATCAACTTTTAATACTTTTTAAGAGCCTGCGGACACCCTATTAATGCTAGCTGTGCAGGAAGGCCCCCCCACCTTCAGTACCACAAACATTAAAGCCAGGGGTCTGAGGAGCACCCACCTGCTTGGCCAGAGCGCAGGCCTGCTCGGGCGAGTTGAGGATTTCGTAGTAGAACACGGAGAAGTTGAGGGCCAGGCCCAGCCGGATGGGGTGTGTGGGCTGCATGTCCTTCTTGCTGATGTCGAAGGCGTTCTGGTAGGCCTCCTGAGAGCTGTCCACCGTGTCTGCACAGAACAACACATCAGCTTCACTTTATGCTCTCAAGTCATCACAACTGTCCCTACAAAACACTTTTCTGCAGGAGCAGTAAGAAACTGTAACAGGTTTTATAGCCAAACTTAATATGAATGTAAACAATAGTAAAAAAAAAAAAAAAGATGTCTTGGCCGAGTTGGACAATGTTGGAGTGTATTGGGGTTATTGAGGATGCTGAATCCATTTCTGACCATTCCAGGATCAAAAATGGCCATATATATGTACATATATATGTACATATATATGTACTTCAAATCAGCCCACAGTACATATATATGTACATATATATGTACATATATATGTACATATATATGTACATATATATGTACTTCAAATCAGCCCACAGTACATATATATGTACATATATATGTACTTCAAATCAGCCCACAGTACATATATATGTACATATATATGTACTGTGGGCTGATTTGAAGTACAATGAGAATTGTTGCGACCATTGGATATAGAGAGCACAAGATGACAATTATTATCTCTACTGTGGATAATTTTCAAATAAATAGGCAAACTGTCCAATCCAAATGATCCAGAGTCTCCTAAATCTTCCAAATCGACCCAAAATGTATGAAAATCAGCCCACCGAGAGTATAAATATCGGCATTTTCTTTAAAAGACCGACAGAAATAGACATATTATAGTAGCAGAAACATATATACACATAATCTATAGTGGTTTTTATAAAAAAAGGTATCCTAATACCGAGATGACATTATCTACTGGGCACCATTAGAGATTCTGCAATACTGATTTGAGCAGACATGGAAGAGACATATTCAAATCAGTATAATCTGTCAGTTATTTGTCAGCTTTTTGAAAATAAAATAGGAGAAAGACCTACAGTAAAAGTGTTTTATTTATTTTGTTAGGGTTTCAAATATAAAATAGTATAAATGAAAGACGAATATTTATTTATATCTGAACCTGGAACAATTACAATTATTGTTCACCGGCACCATAAAGCTGCCATTTAGATTGTTATTTTCTGAGGATTTTATTAATAAAAACTAAATAACCAAATGTGATAAGAAAGGGATGCTTATTTTAATCGGAATAACACTTTCTGCACCGCGATATACAGCGTAACCTTATAGAAAATGACAAGTCCTGTGATTTCAGATTTTTAAGTACTTTAGGAACATGTTCCAAGTGAAGCGTGAGGGTTGTATAAATGGAGCTCCTAGCTCTAGGTAATAAAAAAGCCACTTTACGGCGAGCAATAAAACTAGTTACCTTGGTTTGTTTATTAAAAAGGAAATATTTACTTTGAGCAACACAGCAACTGACTTTAGCCATAACAAAGGACTCTGGTGAGAAATCCTCCTTTAACTGGTTTAAACTTTGACTGTAGCTCAAAGGAGTCTCCTAAACGATGATACGTGCTCCTATAAAACATTGCTATGTTGCTGACAAAACTAAAGTAATAGAACAATGAGAAAGGCTTTTTATTAGTGTCAAACACTCACTCTTCTTTGAGTCCCCAGAGGCCACCTCTGACAGGTATCTGAAGTAGTCTCCTTTCATTTTGAGGTAGAACACCTTGCTCTCCGCCATAGTTGCATTTGCAATGAGGAATTTTTCGAGCAGATCCTGAAACAGAAGAAAGGAGCAGAAGGGAGTCACACAGAGCAGCCTGCCAGTGCACCAGTCAATGGGCAACTGGATTACAGACGGTGTTACTACTACATGTCAGGCCCTTCCTACAGGTTTAACCATACACTGACACGTGCACTTTGCATCGGCCAATCGCCTCACAGAGAATGGGGGTCAGGTCAGATCCATGATGGATAAAGAGAACAGAATACAAAGTTGGAGGCGGGACCCCGTTCATCCTTTGAGACGCTTGGTGGCACATGAAGCCAAAATGGCCTGACAAGCAAAAACACCCTCAGATCATCCGTGGACTTTGGTCTTATGAGCATGTGACTTGTATTGTCCTTTAGCCCCGCCTCCAATAACTCTGGGAAATATCAGAAAATAACTCAAGTTTTACACATCCCAGAAATCAGCACAACCTCAGCTAATGACATATGTCACTCATTAGAGACTTATATACAATATAGAGGATATTTGCCCATAAAGAAAAAAATGGAGCTTGAATTTTTTACTTATTTCATTGAAAATAACTGTTTACCAAAACATTGAAAGAAACATTCAATACAGAAAATTGTACACATTTATTATCAACTGATTAGAAGATTCTAACTTACTCTGTTCATTAGTTATGCCCTTCTTTTTCGGCAGTGTCCTTGGGCGTTTTTTTTGCGAGGAATTGTCATTTTTTGTCCTGCCAATTTTGAAGACTACACATGATAAGTGACCTGCTCCATCGAAATCAGTCGCATTGACCCGAAGACACATTCTGAGTTGTATACACTGCTGGAAAGAGGATATTCCTAGCTTTCTAATGATATCAGGATTGTTGTTCTACTCCAAATATCAAGCGAAATATGTCACATTATATAATGACCGTCACCAAGTCATCATTTTGAGAAAAAGGCCTTCAAAGTTTTCTCTTCTCTGGAATCCATCGATCTGATTGGTTATTAGCAAATGATCAAAATACTACGGAGGGAAGATATTTTCGTTTGGAGGGGAAGCTCGCGAGTGTGCGTGTGTATACGTGTGTGTGTAATTTTGCGTTTGTGTGTATTGTGTTTGTTTCCCGGGGAAAACTCTCAGGAGAAACACCGGCTGTTGTTATGCCTGCTCTGACGTTAAATTACTCCGTTCTCCGCTTGTAATTATGACGTTACAAGCTTCAAAGCTGTATTTATCATCTGAATTTGCCGAAACAAGTTTAATATTCTGAAAGCCAAGACTTTGTTTATTTGAAATCAGATGAAAACAAACTGTAACGGACCCTGCCGTGTTATCTATGATTACTATACTCTTACATTCATAATTTCAGCCGGAGGGAGGGGGAGCGGTGCTGTGGAAGAGCAGAGTGGCGAGTGAGAGCTGTAATCTTCCGTTTACAAGCTTAAAGAATGTATTTATTGTGTGATTTTGGAAATAAAAGTTTCATATTCTGAAAGCCAAGACTTTGTTTGTTTAAAATCAAACAAAACACCCGAAAAACAATTTTTTAACCCAAATCCATTTTTATTTTTGAAATGAGCCGTTGCGACTTCCGACTGATTTCGATAGAGCGGGTCACAAATATCATGGCAGTTCATGTCCACAATCACACATGGCATGCTGAGCAGATTCGTCTAAATTTTCATCGACATCGTCCCCTTGAAAAATCAGCTCCAAAGCCTCAGCTGTAGTAAACGTCCTTGCCATACCTCAGTCTACTTTCAAAACACTAAAACAACGTATTCCAACTTTTATTTTGTTTTCGCGCGTGGAATTATACCGGCTCTCGTTTCAGTACACATAACAACGGAACTGACTGAATCAGACTCCGATTGGCTGTGACTGCATCCACTCAGAGTGTCCGATTCAGAAACGTGACGCTTACACTCTTTACGTCACAAACAAAGATGGTGGATGAGAATAGATCTATAAAACGATAAGCAATGCGCCAGAATCAAGGTGAGACTATCCGCATCCTTTAAAACTCTACGCACATTCGTTTCACCGAAATAAGTAAACGGCTCTCAATGAAAAACTTAAGAGTTGTTTATTGCCGTTTCTGTAGTTTAAGAGGCAACACACAGCATGTCTCTGGCTGAAACAGATGAGAAGTTATGACGCTTTGAACACAACGTGATATTTGGGATCGTATACGGCCCCGTGGGTCTCAGAGGGTTAACGCACTGGGTCCTTGGTTAACCTAAAAAATGTAATTCTATGCTAATTTACAGACGTCTCTTTCCCAATGCAAATCAATGGGAAAATGTTTTTTTTGGCTTCAATGATATCACGGTGTAACATGGAAGTTGTAGTACTACCGTTTGGCCACCACGAACATTTGCATCAATGTCCCACTTACTTCCTTGGGGCTTGGCTTCCCCCAACAGAAACACACCTGTTTGCTAATGAGCTCCCCATTGATATCAGGAAGTCTACACATCTTGCTTTGCAGACGCACCTTTCCCCACTGCATGTTGGCAACAACAATTCTTTAAATAGTTTGGCTTATCATTTTTTATTTGTTTATTTATGCTTTAAAACACTAATTGTAAGACGCTTTGTTAAAATTGCAGCTTAATGAAATGTATAAAAAGATCTTAGTATTTAATAGGCTGAAAACAGCATAACAAGAAAAAAGCTACTCTTCAAATAATTTCTACCCCATTACAAAGCAGAACTCAAATATATTAGGGGAAGAAATCTCATTTTAGCTTTCGGTCCAATCATCTGGTAATGTCAACCTTGATCAAGGTGACTGACATGTTTGTGTGCTGCAGATGAATCAGAGCTTCCTGCGGCTTTAAGGACAGCGTGTCTTCCCTCCCTTCATTCCTTCAGCATCACATCACTGCAGAGGCTTCCAGTTTGACCTTGAAGATATTATTAGAAGTTGGCACAGGCGCAAAAATTTGTCTGTTTTGACCTTGAGCAATTTCTGTGTGAGGGTTGCTGAGGAAGCTTCAATTTGTTCAAAAGGCATAAACTGGTCAAAAAACACAGAAAATATGTTTTCTACCAGCATCTTGAGCATAATGAACTATAAGCAGCGGAGGAAGACCTTTAACACGGTCTTACCTCGCATCTTTCAGATCCTTTTACAGTATGTTAAGGCAACACTGACCATAAACACTGGGTAATTATTGTTTAGCGAAAATTCAGACAAATCATACTTTTGGTTATCATTAAATGTAGAGCTTTTAGTTTACAGAAAACTAGTGCTAAACTGGGTGCAGGTAGGAGGTAACTGAATTGTTTAAGATAATCTTTTATTTGGACGAATATAGAATATGGAAGGGAACAGGTCTGCCTTGAAGGAAAAGAGTTTTGTTCTAAATCTAAAAGAGGCCACCTGCTGGTGTAGGGATTAACGTTTCTGCAAACCAGTGAGTCTTAAAACCTGTTTAAATAAGTCAGAATTTGAGCATACAAGGTTTTGGATTTTTTTTTCTCATTACATTCTCAAATCAATATGTGTTGCTTAACCTGTTCAGCCCTGAGCCTGGTTTTCAGGTCTCAGGCTGGAAAATGGCATTCCCAGAACAAAGGACCATATCTTCCCTTCTAAAAGGGTTACATTAATAATCTTTAATTATATATAGATGCCCTCAGACGCTGTTTCCTGCATGTGACGCGTTTTTCCCCCTGGTATCGGGGGTGCTGTGTAGAAGAGGTTAAGAGATCTTTACATTTTGTTTAACGATATCAAAAGCATCAGTACATCCCGACGGGTTAACATCCAGCTGCTAATCTAACAAATGATACGCCTTTCAGTGTTTCCCACAGATATGAAATGTACTTGTGGTGGTAGCCGGGCACGAGGGGCTGGCTTTGTGACATGCAACATGTGACAAACAACAAATACGTGTGAACTTTAACAACATTTCTGTTGGTCGCTTGTTAGCAGACCCTTCACGCGATAACAGAGCGAACAGGTACAGGAGGCGTAGAGCGAGGGATCATTGTCCACTAGTTAATCGATCACAGATGGCGTCCTGCTCGCGGACGGATACAAAAAGAAAGTCTATGTGTGGGAAACCCTGCCTTTAGTTTAGCGTTAGTGACTTGGAGTCATGCGTGCGGTAGTTTGTTCATAGACTCAAAAATCTAAAAGTGGAGAATATCCTGCTGAACTAAACATTTCAACATCAGAAATATTTGTTGGCCAAAGACCTTATTTTCTGCAATATTGGTAAAATTAAAATTCCCTGTTAGCTTTTTGTTAAAGATTACAGGGAGATGCTAACTTTAAACATATGTCATCCCTCGACAACTTTCCAACAGCTATTTAGGCCTGAGCTCAGAAAGGCCAGACTCACAGGTTCATTTAAGAAAACGTCTTCAGTCTCATGACTTCTGGAACCTTCATGTAAGCAGGCAGCCCACAGACACTCACTGTTGGCTGCGCCACTTGTGCTGCCTTACCAGCTAAGCCCTCTCCTCCCTCTGCACAAAGTAAAGGCACCAAATATACCCATGTGGGGCGGGAGGACAAGAAAAGAAGAGTGAGAGGGAAAGTAAAGCTTTGTTTGACAGACCTAACAGCTGCCAGTGCTGCTGCTAGCAACGTTATTGCATTCCATGTGTTCTCTCCTCAGCCAGGAGGATTCAGCTCTGGTGTTTTCTTCCGCCATTTTTATACCTTATATTCCACTTCATATATTTTCCCTCCCCCTCATTCCCTGCCTCCCCCATCCCTCTCCGTACCAGCACGTCGTTGCAGATTTCTTGGAGTTCAGTCTCGATCTTCATACGGTATTCGCGAGCCATCTGCTGTTTCTTATCGTTCCCGTCCGTCTTCTGCTCGATGCTGGAGATGACGCGCCAGGATGAGCGGCGGGCCCCCACCTGATGGCAACAACAACCAACACAACTTCACTAACGGACGACATCTGAGCTGCAAAGATACATATTTAGTAATAGAGTAACCACGATAGCTATGTACTTGACAAATAAATAACAGACATTATTTGAATAGTATTAAATATTTGAAAGAAAGGTGGCTGTTTCTGTTATTGAAATGTATAAAGACTTAAAATGTATTAAAACATGTAACTGAAGAGAATCCAACCTGACTCCATATACAAAGACTATCTTTCTCATTCTAGCGTTAGTATGTGATCAGGAGCATCATGTGAGAGGAGTGTGGCTCATGAACTACACAAAGGGACTTGCACCATGCTCATGGTTACAGCTAGGATGTACATGCAACAAGAAAAAGCACATCGTAGTCCTCAATGCTGGCAAACGGACGAAAAAGATCAAGTAAAGCTCTACGATAAAATGAGCAGCAGTGCTGGAAACCTGAGGCTCCGGTTACGTATTCTCTGCTTCAGAGAGAAGAAACAAAATCATGAAAAACGATAGAAGTGCAGCAAATGTCAGACTACACATTATTTAAAGAGAGGCTACATTTGAAGATATTAACTCCCTGTAAATGCTAAAGATACATCAGGGGAAGGAATATTTTTTGTAAGCTATAATAAAAATAGGCAAGTCCTGTAGAAAGACTTACTAAACAGTAAGACTTTGCTTTAAATAAAAACAAGGCATTTAATCAAGTGATGAGTCAAGAAAAGCCACATGGTACAGTGGTTGCCCCTGACCACAGCAGAGTTCTGAGAATGAATCTGCACAGGACCGAGGCCATGGCTTCAGACGCAGCTGTTTCTAGATGCTTTGGGTGTTAAATCTATCTCCTGAAATGCCTCATAGGTGATTATTATTACAACAGATCTTGGCGCAATAGAAAACAGTTATACATGTGATGGAGCTAATATCAATGGATTAGTTCTACTTCTTTCAACAAGTGTGCGTGGAGAGCGACTGAGTGAACTGCTGTATCACTTTGACCATTGACGAGCAGTCAATGGTCAATCTCCTCTAAACCCTGTATACTGCTCTGCTCCTTATTTATGCATACCACTTACAATAACAGTTCTCTACTTTAAACCCTTTCACTGGATATGCATGGTTGTTGGCTACGGGGAATCTGTTTCTATTTCCATGGACTTAGTTTGCATTCATTTGTCTCAAACTAATTGTGTTTCAAACTCAAACGGCTAGTTTGATGTTAACTCATTCAACCATGTGAAATTATTATTTTCCTAAAAGAGGATATTCATATTTGTTATTCTTTAGCTTAGATTTATGGAATAATTAACAGTTAAATAAATTGATTTATGAAATAATTTCAGAAAATGTTACAAGCCCTGTGTAGCAAAACGTTTTTAGACAACCATTAGCTCTATATTGGGAATCAAACCAATCCATGAGCTGACTGTACAGTTATAGTCTGAGCATAGATATAGGGGTAAAGAAAATAATTAGCGCCCTTAGAGGGATACCATACCACGTTCTTGTAGGCGACAGACAGCAGGTTGCGCTCCTCGTTACTGAGCTCTGGGACCTGCTCCGTCACCGCCTTCATGGCAGCCGCCATGTCGTCGTAGCGCTCGGCCTGCTCGGCCAGCTTGGCTTTCTGCACCAGGTCGTTCTTATCCATTTTTTAGGCTGCAGGGGGAAAGAGCAAAGGACAGAAAGATAGATTTAGCTTTTGGATTTCAGGCGTTAAGGTTCTTATGTTACCAGCGGGAATATGCTAAATAAGGAAGAACGACCAATAGAGAGGAAATGAGCGAAATGCAAGAGAAAGACCTGGTGTCTCTGAGGGAACATCATACAGGTAGAACAAGGCCTTCTATTGTGGCCAGCCTAAAGCACACCTGTGCAATAATCATGCTGTCTAATCAGCATCTTGATATGCCACACCTGTGAGGTGGGATGGATTATCTCGGCAAAGGAGAAGTGCTCACTATCACAGATTCTTTCAGATTTGTGAACAATATTTGAGAGAAATGGTTATTTTGTGTTTATAGAAAATGTTTTAGATCTTTGAGTTCATCTCATGAAAAATGGGAGCAAAAACAAAAGTGTTGCATTTATATTTTTGTTCAGTGTAATTACTCATCTACCACTGATGCAATCCTAAGATCACTCACAGAATCAATCACAAATAAAATGCTCCAGTGAAGGTCTAACTGCACTTGATCAAATGTCAAAAACCTTTTTAGTTCCAGCTCCCAGTTGTTTCATCCTCGAGGGCTTTGTGCTCGCCAGATGAATCTGAGGGTCTAAGTAGGCCACAGCCTCGCCTCCATCTCCTTTTTATCTACGCATCTCACAATGAATCCTCCACTATGGGCTTTTAGCCTCCTCATTTGCATATCTCATTTATTGGAAGAACGTGTAAATCCCTTATTTCTACACTTACAACTGCTTGAGTACAAACTCAAACATGACGAGGTTAACATGTTAATACACCCACAGCTGATTCAGGATTTACCCTCACATCTGGACACGTTCCAGTTTTAGATGCTTTGCGTAGTAACCACCCGTCCACTAGAGTGAAATTAACTCACCGCCCTATTGTGTTTAAGTATCTTTCGAACTTAACTGACCTCTAACCCCCAAGGCAGGGGTTGAGTATTTTTGCCTTCCTACACAGGGTAGGAAAAGGTTTATTCTATGATAAATACAACAATAAAATATAGTTTTTGCGATTTGTTTAGTTTTTGGTATCTATTACATCTTAGTATCAAAGCTCTTCCAGCATTTGCATTTTTTTTAGAGTAGGTTTTACTGGCAAACACACAATCTTGTATTTCTTCTTTTTTTTTTTTACAACATGGTTTTCAGTTTTGGAGTAATCTTAAACTGCCACGGATACCAAGTCCTAATTTTATGCAATATAATCCTCTGAAAGTGAAAAGAAAACCCAGCCAAATAAAAGCATTATTTCTAAGTAATATGAAAAAGAATGAGTAGCCTGTGGTCTGACTTCTTTGTTCAAATGTGCATCATGTGTAGGGAAACTGCAAAAGAGCATCAGATACAATGTTAACATAATTATCCATCATCAAATCCTTTTGTACAAGAATGAATGATTGATGCTAATTTTGTGACTACTAAATCTTAATTTGGGTAAAACAATTGTAAAAGGTATTCAGCCCCTTTGAGTCATCATGAAGCAAAAGTATCATCTTCAAATTGTGTTAGGGTTGGGTTAGGCGCTATAGGGAACCGCAGTGACGCGTCCTAAAACCCGGAAGTAAGTTAGCATTTTTACCACGTCCGGTTCCTTCCATAAAAAGCCATGCAATTTCTCCATAGGATTTTGGAAAATAACTCCAAATAAGGTCTGTGTTTGACACAAATTGAAGAGACAGATCACGTTTTGTTCTACGACATTAAATACATCAGCAGTGACCCCACTGGTGATTTCTGAAGAGTTTACGTGTCTGAAAAACGATGGTTGTTAACAAGTGGCTGAATAGGAGTACAGAAGTTGTCCAGGCCGTTGTACGTCATTACACCGAACACTTCCGCTAAGTTTGTTTGCCCTGTTCTGCTTGAAAGCAAGTACCTGCCTCCTGCAGACTGTTCAAACAAACACTTCAACTCGTACCATTTACAATCTGTATGTTTGAATATGGATCTTAAGTTGGCGTGACGTTGAAGCAGCGACCCTGCTGTAGTTCCTTTATAGCATAACGTTAGCATTTTGCGACTAGATTTATGCTTAGAAAATGATAAAAGTAGGATAGACATGTGGATATTATCCGGCTGAACAAAACGTGATCCGTCTCTTAAATGTGTCTCAACCACAGACCTTATTTCCAGCTATTTTCCTAAATCCTATGGAGACATTGCATTGGTTTTTGATGAAGGAACCGGAAGGAGTTTACATCCGGGTTTTAGGATCCGTCACTGCGGTTCTCTAGAGGAAATGAAATATCAGCACATTGATTCAAGAATACACTGTTGGGCAAAATGACTAAGTGGGAAAAGGCAAAAAAAAAATAGAAGTCAAGTTCAGAAAATCATATTTGTTTACGGCAATGCTGCTTTTAAAACCAGGAGATGAAACTCGTAAAGTATTATATTACGATTGAGGATTTCTAAAAGTTAAGAATATATCTAGTTTCATACTAGGATAGTGATATATTGCACAGCCCTAGATTCTGTAATTGGAGATGTCCATAACACCTTTTCAAATGGGAACACTGCTATTTTCCTGCCTATTGTTCTTTGCAAGAGGGCTGAATCTATTTTGTTTCAAGGGGACTGTGGGAACCAGCAACTTTCAAGTCCTGCCACAAATTATTGATTGGACGGAGGTATAATCTAACCACTCCAGGACATTTTTAGTTTTAAGCCTTTCCTTTATGGATTTGTGCTGGAAAAATAAATCCCCTAAGTCACAGTTCTCTAAAAAGACAGCAGGGACCTTTACTCTTGGAAATGTGTTTTATTGCATTCATATCAAGGTGTCTGCCTTCACACACAGCTTCCCCACAGCCTGGCAGGCCACCAGCAGGTGCCATGCTGATGTGCAGGGCACGACCCAAGCACAATGCTCAAAAAGCTACACTTTTCATGATCACTTTATAGATCCTTTGAAACATTCGGAAGATCGACCACCAAGACACCAAGTATAACAAAGATATTGTAAAAAATGTTTTTGCCAGAAGTAGCTTTTTCTTTAAACTATTAAAGCACCCATCAATATTGCACTTGTCTAAACATGTCTCTAAGAGCCGAGTTAGCGTCTTCTGCTAGTACTCTCCTAACACGAAAAAAGTATTTTGTGGGAATATTCACAGCTGTGCCGTATACATTTCCATTTCTTACTGATCCTAAAAGAAAAAAAGGCTATTTGGGGATTTTTTTTTTTTTAAATCACTTGAAATTGTTTGTTTGATATCTTTAGTAATATTTCTGTTTTGGATAACAGTGATTATATTAGGCCTGTCAAGTGTACATTGTCAGGTTTACTTCAAAGCCACTAGATGGCACAGAGGCTTGCGTGGCGATTATTACGCTTTCCAAATTCAAATACTTGTACTCATACAGCTTCTATTAGTTATCTTACGTTTAATTAATGGTGTTAAATAAGTGTGCATATTTTGTTCACTACATGTCAAAATATTGCTCAGTCATTCTTTTTGCTCATGCTTGTCAGCTACTTGTAATTATCAATAAATCACTCATTGGCCCCGAGCTATTTAAAAATCACTTGCCACTCTAGGGTTGAACAATATTTACTATTGCTCAATATTGCTCAATCAGCACAGGCTTAGTCATACTATTTATACCGTGGCATTCCTTTAATATGTCTGGTTGTAGCCAATGGGACATTTTGTAAACCAAGCAGGAATTATTTACTGACTATTTTTGTATAAATGTTTCATCAATGTAATTATTTGTGGTATTCAATTTGCTTGATTAACTAAATAGATACATTCAACAGGAGTGCGACTGATAGAACCGGCAAGTAGCAAATGTTAAAAAAGAACAAAAAAGTGTTCACACATTTGAACGTGCTGCCACTCTATTGCACTTCCTGTGGTGTGCAGGGACATTATTAGCCTCTCAGCTGGGAGCGTGCCAGTGGCACAGTGCTGATTCAAGGGGTGAATCGTAAAATCAATTTTCTGCTGATATTGAGTAGTCCCATTTGTTCACCAAAAAACTAAATGATGAGACCATTAGTGTATGGGACCATTATAAATGCAGATACCCATTTCCTCCAAAGAGGGACACTGATTAGGAAGAAACACCTAGATCGCTCTAAATCAAGGTTTTTTTTGGGTTAAAATCATCCAGATAAAGCAATAGACAACACAGCATTTTTTAAAGCACCACACCAGTTGAAATCATGGTTCAGTGGAAACATGTTTTACAACAACTGTTTAAAATAAACTGTGCTAAATGACTAATGGCTCTATGTTTTCTATAAATATTAATATAACAATCATTAAGACCCATTTAAGCTAAAATGCTAAACACTTGATAATTTGCTCACTTATCATGACAGAAATAATAATAAACCAAATGCATGGATATTAACTTTAGCCGAGAAAGGTGAGGCAAATTCAGCAGCACCTTTCCAATACACAGTATTTTATGAGGTATTGGTGCAAAATGGTTCACTTGCTGCAGCAAAAATCAAACCAACATGTTAAGTGTGCCATTAAAAGTTACAATATGCATGACAACATGATAGTCAAACAACCAGACAACATGGTGTTTTATTCTGTATGGAGTCATGGTCATGAAAACACTAATGATAAATAATGATGGAAAGCATGTAGGACGCTTTAAAGATTAACAGGGCACAATTTGAATCACTTGACCTGTTCATGTTCTCTCTGGTCTTTTGGCAGTCTCAGGTTAACTTACTTAATTCCTATAAAAAAAATTCAGTGTACATGATTCTATATGTGGTCATTGATTTAATAAAAGTCTCCCAATAGTATAATGAAAGTGACAGAAATAAGCAAAGTGTTAATACCAGGGAAAGGGTTATTCAACAGTGTTGAACAGGAAGTGAATCTTCAGCATGCTTCAGGCTGCATGTGACATTCATGCTGTGCTCTCATTTACACCACTGTGATTTACCACACATCATGGTACTATAATAGTAAAACACTTAATAACATTTATCATATATAATCATAATTCAACAAAGTATGTTAATGTGACATTGACTATATATATATATATATATATTCATTAATAGAGTACCATTAATAATATCATTATACGTTATCCTGGTGTACACTGTATACATACACTACTGCTGCTATACATCACATCACCGTCGTTTGATCATGTTATACGTCCAACAATTCATTTTTATAGCTTCCAACTTTTATTCTATTCCTAATTTAGTATTATTTCACTAATATGTTATATTTCTGCTACAGCCCATGTTGTACTTATGTCTCTATTGAATTGCCTTTACACCCGTATTTCCCCGCTGTGGATCAATACAGGTCCAGCCTTTAGTATGCGTTAGAGGCTAATCCGTTTCATTTTAGCATCCTGAAGTTAGCATTTAGCATCGTGTATAATGCCGCGTATTGCAGTCAGAAGTAATGAAGGGTTAGTTGACAGAAGCATCAATCCGCACAACGGTTAGAATGAATCCAAATTGGTCTCTTCGGTGAGCTAAAATCATCTGGCACGACACCAACATTATTCTCTGAATTACCACTGATGTTATACAGCCATCTAACGTGAGCTAACGGCTAAGGTTAACAGGCTTATGCGCAACGAAAAAAATGGGGTTCACCATCTTTAATAGACCCGAGATACACTGAACAGCCTAAAAAACAACCCCCGGTTAACATTTTCCCAATAAGCATTTAAAGCCCTCAAGGGGGTGGATATTCTGGTTTGTAATAGCGTTTAGTCGGCCTGCCAACAGCTACGCCCTCCTTGTCGCATTCCCCTGCGGAATTTTAAGATGGAGAGATAGATTACCGCTAGCTGGCAACTAGCATGCTAACGGAACGTCACAGTACGGCCGCTGGCTTGAATTGTTAGCTTAGCTGACCCCGTTACATTATGTGCCGACGCCAAGATATTGGCTTAAATAGCTGGATAGTTAAATATGGCATTTTCTACGTCGTCACCGCTTTAATCTGTTGGCAAAATGATATCGAGCGAATTTAAAATGGTAGCCGCATTTGAGGGGGAAACTCCCGGGAAATAGGGAGGGTGTGTTAGCTTCACTACGCCATAACGGACCCGAGCTAGAGCCATCGTTATTAATCACGCTGCTGTTCGAATAACGGGACCCGATGCGTCGATTCCCCGGGGTATAGACACATTACATTACAAGACTCTTGTAAAACATCGTGTTCTGAACTCGCTGTACTTTAGCATTTGAAGCTAAAAATGCTTCTTTCACGACGGCCTGGACACAGCCGCCTCTAAGCTGTCAAAATGGCCAAACTTGGGTGCCGCTCGCTTCTCCCTCCCTACACGGTCACCGCGCACCATCATGCATGGCATCGACCGGAGTCTGGGCCTTTACAACTCTACAATTCCCGTCACATTATGCAACACAAAGAGCTCTGGCAGCGCAACGCCAGGTGTTCTGTGTGTTATTTCTCGCTATTTTATCCAGTGGTCTCGGCCTAAATCCTCGCACCCAGCCCCTAACCACAATAGGCACCTTCCGCCGCAGAGGCAGGGGAATGGGGCCACCGCTGGGTCTGCTGCTCCCCTCTAAAAGAGTATCGTTACCCTGTATACAAAACAATAATCGAGTCATATGCAAGTGAACTCACATTTAGAGCGTGCAAGGAATCCCGATTGTATTCTCTAAACGATGGGAGTTTATCAAGCCGTCCTCCGCTCGCTGCTCAGGGTATTCAGGGCAGTACCACTTCCGCCTGCTCTGACACTTCCGCTTCCTCTAAACTCCACCCCTCCCCCCGCCAGTATCCATGGCAACCGAGCCAGGGGGTTTCCTGAGCATCTTTCAAGGGGCTTTGACGTCAGGAGGACCATGGCAACAGCTCCAGGATGACGTGCGCCCCGGTCTCCGTGGCAACTGTCTCCATGAGGCCCGCTGCTGCTGTCGTATCTGAGTTCACCATCGAGTCAGCTGACACAGCCTTGTGTGGGTTACACTGATTTCATTTTTCTTCATATATTCCAACAAGCAGGTATTTTTCTCCCACTGCACCACCTACACAACCACTGCAAACCCTGCAACACCATCAACCATCCTACATTCATCTTTACATTTCTCTTTGTGATTTCTACATGGTTTTAAGGTTCATTTATTCATCCTTTACAATCATGGTTGCACAATTATACGTAATTGGTTGCCCCTTCAAGCTACAAGCCTGTAAAACATATAGCCTACAAATATTACAATTTTAATAGCCATCATGCAAATACTTTGCTTTGACTCATTATTCTGAACTACACATTGATTGCACAATTTATGGCTGTGTTATATTGACATCATAATTGTTTAGATTGAGCCCACATCAGCCTTGCTTTCATTCTTGCATTGCTGCCTGCAACCGTGAATGATTCCCCAGGAAAATGAAGGCTCTATTTAATAATTCAATTCCTATTTCTTCATTCTGAAACATTTGTGAATTTTACAAGGTTCATTCATCTATCAAGGATTCAAGGAGTCAAGGCTTGCCTTGTATTGTCATGTGCACAGTGTAGATATGGCAATTAAAAACTTAAAGGTGGGGTATGTAATTTATTTCGGAAATACTTTTTGGTATATTCCATGGAATGCTCTTAACATCCCGATAGCAATGAATATATTAAATGCTTTGACAATAAATACATAAAAAAAAGTCATCTGTGGAAGACGTAGTACTGTGAAAAGCACGACCAATAACGGCCCGGCTAAAATAACTGGATGGCCTACCTGCCTGTCAGCCTTCCATCTGTGCACAACCTTATCTCGTACCCTCATTGGTCATGTGCGCGTTCGTGTGTGTTGGAGGAGGGGCTCTGTAAGGAAGTGGCAGATTTTTTCCAGCTGTGTATTTTCAAATTCTAGCGATCTCGAGCTGGTTTCTCCAAAATTACCTACCCCACCTTTAAGTCCCACGCTCCTCCAACAGTGCAACAACATGAATCATTTTACAACTCAGGTTTGCACAATGAAATGTAATGGGTAGCCTATTCACGCTTCATGTATATCAAACATATCTATACAAATATTTAAATGATCATACCCATATCATAATTAAAAGCAATACCAATATAAAAAGACAGCACAATGTACATCCTTTCACACTACTCCATCATAAAACAAATATACAAATATGTAGCCATATCATAATTAATGATGTCACAAATCATGTGTTGGGTAGACATCATATAAATACTTTTTGTTTAGGGTCTTGTCCCTTGTTCTACAGCATTGGATAGCTTTTTTGGATTTGGATTTGATAAATTCTGTCTTATGACTAGTTGTATGATGCTGATTGCACCATGTAGGGGTGATCAAATAATCACATCATTATTGTTTATTGTTATTAGCATTGTAGTGGTTCAATGTCTCTCTGTCGTGGTTTGTTGTTTCTTTGTATACACGTTGTATGTCTTAATGAATTTTGTGTGTCTTTGTAGTCTTTTTGTTAGTTTTTTGGTTGTTTTTCCGTATTTTTGGTCATTTGGTGTGTCCTATTAGTATTTATTATATTAAGATATATTTATTTAAGAAGGGACAATGCACATACATAATAATGAAGACATCCCATTATGTCACAGTGCCAGATTTAACCATAAAGACTCATTTCCATCTGCAGTCCCTGGCGGGATTTTGTCAACAAAAGAAAACATACAAGATATAGAGAAGAACTGGGAGGGATGAAACCCTCTTTAATGGTCACAGAGCACACACAGAGACATTTGGCTTCTCCTTTTGGGTAGCCATTGTACAGCGCTCGGGAGCAATGGGAGTGAGGGGGGAAGGGGGGTGTCCGGTGCCTTGCTCAAGAGCACCACGGCAGGGCAGGAGGTGAACTGGGACCTCTCGTAGCAGTCCACACTCCATATCTTTTAGGTCTGGTCGGGGACTTGAACCGGCGACCCTACAGCTCCCAGTCCAAGCCCCTATACTGACTGAGCCACTGCCGGACAGTACATATGTAAGCACAATTAAAACACATAAGCACATTTAAAACACAATTACAGCACCTATTATACTGTTTTTCATCAATATATTATAGGTCTCAGATATATACAAAACATGTCTCTGAAGTGTTTGGCTCCAAACACCAAACAGATCATTGTAGCATCCCATAATCCCCTCTGTTTCAGCCTTGTTTCAAAAGTGCTGATTCTCTGTCTGTTACTTCAGATGAAAATAAGGAGCCCCTCCCCACGCCCCTCTGAGAGATATTTGGTTAAAAAGAACACAATATAGTTGCGTTCACACCGGAGTACTTTTACCTGTTCTTTTCCCGTTTAGTTCCGATAGTGCCTGGAATTTTGCGTTCACACCAAAAAGAGTAATTAGTTCCGAGAACTTTTACCCCCATTGTTAGTGCCTGCTAGAGAGGTGGTACTATCCTGGGGAGAAAAAAATACCAATTTCGATTGGCTGGAAGAATTGCAAACCACGGCCCGTAAAACTCTGAAAACTTCTTTGAAGCCGCCATTGTATTTGCTGGCATTAGCATTATTAGCATTACTAGCATTAGCCCCGCGCACCAACGGAGAGAGAATAACTTATGGCAACACAAAAAAAAACATGGGAGCGGTGGAGTGATGAGGAGGTGTCGGCGTTCTGGCGATTTACTCGGAAGGGAGCCCCAGCAGCTTCTACTGAAGCCAGTCCCCAACTCCGGGGACTTCGGGTGGCAGTATACACCGTGAAGTGGTTTGCGGCCTGCCAGTAAACCCAAAGCAGAAGAAGAAGCAGTGACGTCAGCGGCTTCATTTGCCTAATCTTCCCTCAGGGACTTATTCAGGTGTGAACGCAATCTGTACTTAGTTCCATGGGGGCACTAAGTGCTGGGCACTAAGTACGGCAAAGTACTTGGTGTGAAAGCGGCTAATGGTGCTCTAGGACAGTGGTTCTCAACTGGTGGGTCGCGACCCAAAAGTGGGTGATGTGTGAGTGAAAAAAAAATTCCTTTTTTTTTTTTTTTTGGGAGAAAAAGTCAAACTTTTATTTTGAAGGCCCGATTTTCTAACGCTGTGCATGCAGTAGTCGTTGGACTGAAAGTACCGGAGACCACAGTTTTGAAAACTTCTGTCACGTAGTGATCATCATCTCAATAAAACATATTTGCTGATGTTTTTTCGAGTCTTCTGGCCAATCAGAATCAAGATTGTTGCCGGAAGTCCCCACGGAGAATAACTTTGCGGTAGAACTATTCTTTATACACCCATGGGTACAACTTCAGATACAAATGAACACATAATTAAATATGACCCCCAGTTTGATGATTGACAGGTCACAGAACAATGGGAGCTATCTACCCTTACCCACAAAGTAAAGTAATTCACACAGACTATCTCCTCTTTGCTCTTCTCTCTGTGTGGAGCAGCAAGTTCAGCTGTCAGAACAAAGTGAAAAACAAACAATGGCATACATTATTATTAATATGTCGTAATACATCTATTTATTTTCTTCTCAGAGTGTACCAGAATGGGTAGTTTATGTTAGTATTTCAAAAAATCTCCTGGGGGAGAATCCCCCCAGACCCCCCTTCTGGGGTTAGGTTTTCAGCACGTGTGCCTTTTCATGTTATACAGTTCAGCTTTGATTCCATCATCTCATTAAACCTTATTTAAAAGCATTATTTTTGTTCTGTGAAGGGATATAAGGGATATATGCACTGTACTTCACTTTAATTAATATTGTATACTGCAAAGCATATATATTACTGCAGGATTTTTTGTTGAATAGATTTGAGTGGTTCAAAATTTCGGGTCGCGATCTATTGACTAAGGAAAAAGTGGGTCCCGAGGCCTGACCAGTTGAGAACCACTAGGAGGAGATTCAGGTGATAAGGTAAAAAATCGTTATGACATAAAGTGGCCCAAATCTGATCAGCTCATTTTCAGACAGGTTTTTATATAAATGGATCAGGACATAAAGAGAGAGAATATTTTTTCCTGAAACTTTCAGAATGTCTGCACATTTTTATTTATAAAAGACATGAAAAAGTGGATTTTGCATAATAAGTGACCTTTAAAGCACATATGTACAATTAAAAGCATATCAATACATGCATAAATACATAAAAGCAAGTACAGCTCTGGAAAATATTTAAGAGACCACTCCAAATGTTGCTTGAATCTCACATTCTACAGTACATGTATGGCAGCCATTCCAGTGTCTGAATTCAACACAGAAAAAATGTTGTCAGTAGTTTATAGAATACAATTTAAAAAATGTCATTTTACTCAAACACACATACCTATAAATAGGAGAACCAGAGATCCTGATAATGCTGCAGTGGTCTCTTCATTTTTTCTAGAGCTTCATACATAAGCACAGATACAAGCTTATTGTGTGTTTTTGCGGTCATTTTAGGATATTCCAATTATTGGTGTGGGTGAGAACATATAGTTCTCCCACAGTTCACGTATTTGTTTTACCTTCTTTATAACACTTCTCACAATAAAGAGGTACCATGTTGGAATAACACTTCTATAAATCCTAGGTTTCATTTTTAGAAGGTGGCAGTTCAAATATGTGTTGCTTTGTTCACCCTGCTCTTGTTCAATCATGGTATCACATTACATTACATTTAGCTGACGCTTTTATCCAAAGCGACTTCCAATAAGTGCGTTCGACCAACAAGATACAAACTTGAAGAAAACAGAATCATATAAGTACATCAGGTTTCATAGAGGTAAAACATTTAAAGTGCTACTCAACTGGCTTTAGATAAGCCAGTCCTTTATTAGTATATAAGTCAAGTCAAGACGTGCAATATAAGCCGTGTGTA